GGCGTAAAGTGCGGGGGGAATAGTTGATAGTGAACAACAACTAAGTGAAAAGCAAATTTTGGCAGCTGTTGCGGGACGCGCTTAAAAATAGCAACAAATATGCGAGACAACAGCGCGGGCGAAATTTCGCAAAAAAAGAAACATACAACATACTCAAAATAAAATAAAATAAATTAAAATAAAATTACTTATGCGATAGAAAAGCGTTTTGGTCGCTTTTGCGAAAATGTATGTATACAAAATCGAAGGCGGCGGCAACTGCGACAGCTACGACTGCCAGCACATAGTTAGAGAGTTATAAAACAAAAGATACATTTGTGTCTATAGAAAATGGAAGAGTGAGGAGCGAAGAGAGAGGCGTCTCTATTTAAAGATTGACTGCCAGGCGACATTTTCACGTACGGATACGTTGTTGGGCCAGTCACGCACCCAAAATGAAAATGTATCTAGCCATACGTATGTGTATCTTGTAGTTATTCGACGAATGTGTGTTTCGATTTGACAAGTTTTCTCTAAAGCAAATGCTGTGTCTTTTACTCGTCTACGGTCTTCTTTGCTGCGGCGCACAGCAGCCTGTTCCGCCTCTCTCTCTCTCGCTCTCTCTCTCTCTCTTACTATATCTCTATCTCTCGTATATTACATATTGTACATTTATTGAAATGAGCACACAATGCGCAAATACAAAGCGCCGGGCAGCAAAACGTGCTCAGTACAAACTAGTCTATAATTTTAAAAATAAACTCTACGCAAATTATGAAATATCCAATTCTTTTTCTTCTTTCTACACTCTGCACAAATTAAAAAAGAAAAAAGCAAATTAGAACATTTAGAAATTTTTGGATATGCATGTAAATACGAATGTGTGCTTCTATCGAAATTTACAGTACAGTGAACACTCGCCAAGTAGAGCGTTTCTCTGCCAGAAGTAATTCCAATTAGCAAACGAATAAATATTCTAAAAGTTTAATTTTACTAATTATACAATTTTTATTAATAAAAAAAAGAGCTATATGTGAAGTTAATAGATTAAAAATGTTTAAATACTTAAGATATTCAAGGGGGAAAAATATCAAATAGGAACTTTAAATATTTCCAATCAGAGCAATTGATATATTTCTAATAAGAGCTCTAAAAGTTCAATTTTTCGAATTCTAAATTATTTCAAATGCACAAAATAAGCTAAATTTTATGTTAAAAGATTAAAAAACTGAAATACCTAAGATATTAAGGGAAAAATACCAAATAGGAACTTTAGCAATTTCCAATAAGAAAATTTGTTAAAACTTCTTTTGCTTTTGCATTCACTGTAATACAAATAATACGAATGTGTAATCTATTCTAATTACAATTCCAGGAAATACTAAGTAAATAGCATGCTTCGACTGGCTGCACTGCCTAGATTTAAAAATACATTCAAAAACCTGCAATACGACATTTAGAAAAGGCCCAAAGAATTTGTTCAAGTTTAATGACCAACACGAGCGCATCCCAAAGAGCATAGAAAATACCAACGAACTTTAGAAATCCAACTGTAAATGCCAAGCACCACACAGACACACACACACACTCACACTCGCACTCACAGAGAGACAGATGGGGAGCGTGGAAGAGAGACAGCAGCAAATCAATACAACGAAATAGTAAGGCGCTTGAAAGAAAAAGCATCATTCAGAGCTTAGATTACAGCATTTTCTGGCAGCTTTGGAATGCTGCTTTGGCTGTGGCCGAAAACTTGTTTACAAGACATCGCGACGTGCCAACGAGTGGGTCAAAATGCAGCTCTTTTACACTCATTTATATGCATATGTATATGTGTCTGTTTGTCTTTCTGTGTGTGCGTGTATTGACATTCACATTAAAGTTGAGCAGCCGCTCCTGGACCAACGCTTGAGCGCCAAACTTTCACTTGTGCACGCAGCAGCGGCAAAGATGAAACAAGAGAAGCATAAAACAAGAGGAGACAGGCAGAGCCGAAGCTTTGAGCAATGAAAATCGTAGCCAGAAACTTGATCGCCAAAAAAAAAAATAAAACAGAAAAGAGAAGAGAAGAGAGGAGCTTCCAATTGCAGCGCCCTAGCGAGACGACAGGTGGCGTTGGAGCATCTTCTGTGACAGCTTTGTGTATAACATTTACAACAGTTATATACATAAATGTATACATGTACATATGTACATATGTATGTAAAAAGTTGTTTGTACTTTCTTTTGCTTAAGTATGTGTATGTGTGTGTGTGTGTGTTCGCTTGTATCAATGAATTTTATAGAGCTTCTGATTGTAGACAGACAGCTGCTCCATTGGAAATAGGACAGGGACACGACCCCCAAACAAGGGTATTACAGTTGGGCGCTCGAGTGGGCGGCATTTGTGCTAGAAAACAGTGCAACACACGCCCTAGAAAATGTCACCGATTTCTCGCCCCAATTGCTTAACTGCCTCCAACAACTGCACATCTACAATCATATACATATATGCATATATCGTAAATAGTAATGACAGCTTACCTTCTCCTTGGCACGTCCAGCGTGTTTTTGCATAGATTTAGCAAGCATGATGCCTTTATTTTCGGACATTCAATTAACGGCAGCAACAATAACAATAGAATTACTGAAGGTGCAGCAATGTATGTGTGTGTGTGATATTCGTATATGCACTGCTGGTGTTCAGAAAAAATAAAGATTTCTGATTTGGCACAATACACTGTGTGAAACGAGAAGAACTCTTTCCGTATTCGGGGAATTTTAAATGCACATTTAACACACGACAGCGGGCCACAATTTGTATTTGTATAACGTTGCTATTTTTATGCGATTTGGCCGCGTTAGTAGCACTCGAAAGTCACGAAATAATGGCACGTAGGCGCGCGACTGCGACTTCAGGTGTGTCTTCGAACTTGACGCTGCTGCAGACGGAACGGGACTCATTTATTTATTTATAATTTATAATGTTTACACTCAAACAACGTCGATATTTGCTCTGTATCGATAGTTTCTGACTATCAGCACGCCACCACACTTCAACGCTGTTAAGCTTAACAGTGGTGGAGCAACAATCGATACTTCACTGCTATCGATAAATTGCCGCTCACGTAACGAATTACTCACCACTTTCAAGTGCTGCATAACACATTTACATATCAAAAGAATGGATGAGCGACTTTTGCCCAGGTAAACAAAGTTCTTTTATGTTTTATTTATGACTAATACAGCTTAATTGCGATTAGGCCCTATGCCTCGACGGGCGGCTGGCTATGCCTGCTATTGCCCACGGCCCTGATCACAAGCTATCTGCACACACAGACAGCGACGCCGGCCTGTGCCCCCACGGATGCAGTGCATCGGCTGCTGATTGCGGTCGCAATTGGTATGTGCCTGAGGACGCATTGCTTTCTCTTGACTTCCTACTTAAAGACTGGACTACTTATTGAGCGTGCGAGCAGCCTGCTGCCCGGCATCGCTACCAGCCTCTGGATGACGCTGCTTTTGGACATGACCTGGCCCTTTGCCCTGATTGCTGGCCTGCTCGTCATACGCCTGTACCAGCATGTCTATATGAGCGTGCTGCGCGGCCTGCCGCAAACATTCACCTTTGGCGAAGCTGCGATTCTGGTGCAGGGACTCGTGCTCTTCCTGCTCAACGCCATTTGCCGGCTGTGGGCGCTGCTCACGTCGGAGCCGCAGCCCGCAACCGATTTTGGCCAATTGAATGCCATAATGCAGAGTGCTTTAATCTGTCTACTCTTCGTCTGCGTAATGCTTGCTCTGGTGCGATTCCTTCGCCAGCCGCTGCCCTTCTACGTGCTGATGCTGCTGCTGCTCGCGGCCGTCACCTGCGCGCCCGTGACCAAGCCCTTGCCACTGATTGCCCTGCTCCAGTTCATGTTCAAGGAGCACATCAGAGTGAGTAGAACCATATGCGATATATGAGATTTCAGCTAATTAAGAGCTGTGTATTCCCCTCCAGCTGTACATCATAGCGTTCTATCTGCTGCTGGTGGGCCTCACCTGTGCCACCGTCAGCTGGCAGCTGGGCAACTCCACGCAGGCGAGCACGCGGATGCGCAAGATATTCCACTTGCTCATCGTGCTGGTCTTTGTGCCCGGCCTGGTCTATCAGTGCGCCCTGCTGTACATCGCCACGGGCATTGCTCTGGCCATATTCGTGGTGCTGGAGCTGCTGCGTCTGCTGCAGATGCCGCCGTTTGCGGCCACGCTGGCGCAGGCCTTCGACTCCTTCAAGGATGTCAAGGATGCGGGCCAATTGGCGCTGACGCCCTTCTGCCTGCTAATTGGCTGCGCGCTGCCCATTTGGCTGACGCCCTGCCCCTGCCAGACGTCCGCCCAGGACAGTCCGCTGCTGTTGCTCCTATCCGGCATATTGAGTGTGGGCGTGGGCGACACGGCCGCCAGCGTGCTGGGCTCCAAGTACGGACGCAACAAGTGGGCCAGTGCGTAATACACACAAGTCACAAGTCTATGTTGATTATAATCCGATTTAATTGCAGATTCCAGTCGTTCCCTTGAGGGCACCGTGGCCTTTGTGCTGTCCGTGCTGCTTTCCGTTTGGCTGCTGCAGCTGAGCGGAGTCCTCGACATGAGCCAGGCCAAATGGTTCGCCACGCTGTTTGCCGCGCTCAACACAGCTTTGGTGGAGGCGTTTACCGATCAGGTGGACAATCTGGTGCTGCCGCTGGTCTTTTACATAATCGTGGGCCTAGCCTAAGCATAAAAGTGATATATTTATGAACATTCCATTTAAGCCAAAGATGTGAACAATATTTTTAAATAATATATATTTTTAACGTTATACAACACTTGTGTCCGCTGTTACTTAACAGCTGATACTTTAAGAGGGCAGCTCTTATAAAACTCTCACTTACGATCACTGTTAAATAGCATAACGTGAGTAACAGTGCTGCTTCGTAACAGCTTTTATAAGAGTAGCAATGTTAAGCAACTTGACAAATGTATAAGACTGTTATAAAATGCGCGCCTTATTTGAATTTGAATTTGATTTCTTTATTAAATGCAATATTTTCATGCGCTTACAGCATATATGTATATTAAGACTAAAAAATAGATATGTGTATATATAAATGTGTATAAAAATAATGTATTATAGTTATGCCTAAATATATATACATGTGTATATAGTGTGTTGTACAGGTATTACGAACAGCGCAATTTTGAATATAATTAGTTGCATCTGACATATAGCATTTGTATAGGGTATATCGTATATCGTATATAATATATATGCCTGAGCATGAGTCTAGTCCTGAACTTTGTGTATCACATTTTAGACAGGATCGGAATCCTCGAGTTTCGTTTAACGGCAGTTGATTAACAATTACATTTATGCTTGATAAACAATATACAAAAAAAAATACATACATATTAATTAAAGGAACATGTTAGCAAAAAGAATTAAATGCTTCGCTTGATATTGACGGGTTACTCAGCCCCATTACAAAGTGGATTCTACAACGGCTCCTCCTGGAAATATTCATGCTCCAAGCAGGCCAGCGCAGTGGGACGCTCGTGCAGCTCATACGAGAGCATTTGCTAAGGGAGAAATAAATGGGAATCGTTAACAAGCAGAGCAAGGGGAAGGGGAAGGGGTCGGGGAAGGGAAAGGGAAAGGGCAGTTCGCTTACGTCCAGCAAATTGTCGGCGAATTTGCCGAGATCCGGACAGAAATCGGAGGGTCGCTTGCGACTGCGTGGCGGAAAGTGTTCCCGCGAGACGGACACGCTCTTGGGCCATTGCTGCTCCGTGGGACGTCCGGTTAGTCTGCAACAGGACAGGTAAAATCGATACAGGTAAGGAATGAGGCTCTGTTAATGGGGAAACCCACTCGAATATGCGATCCAGTTGATTCTTTTCGGAGTTGCCCGGAAAGAGGGGCTTGCGATTGAACATCTCGAATATGATGCAGGCCGCGCTCCAGATGTCCACGGAGCTGTTGTAGCCCTGGGCGAGCAGCACTTCGGGCGCCCGATACCACAGGGTGACCACAACCGAGGTGAGTTTCATGTCCCTGCCGTAGGTCTTGGCCAGACCGAAATCGGCTATCTTCAAATGGCCCTGCGACGAGACGAGCAGATTTTGGGGCTTCAAATCGCGGTGAATAATGCGATGGGCGTGCAAAAAGTCCACTCCGGTCAGTAGCTCACGCGATAGGCGCTGCAATTGATAAATATATTTAAATTACACCAAATACTCCGCTTAGTCACTTTACCTGTATATTTGTGGGCGACATGCCGGAGGGTGGCAGGGCTTCTATCAAGTCGGATAAATCCTGCTCCAAGTGCTCGAAGACAAGCAGAATCAACAATTTCCCATCACGTTCCAAGAACTGGCATACGTCGAGCAGTCTGTGGAGAGGGGAAATTATAACAGGCTAGTTTACGTGTGTGTGCAGTTAATGAACTGATCCGGTGTGCATGTGTGCGTTGTGCTGGCATAAAATGGCTAGATCTTGCAGCGACATTAGCCGTGCTGCGGGCATTTGGTGTACTACAAAAAACACTCCACTCATACGAATTATGGAAATTTCTACAACACTTTCGATCAAGAGCATATACAGTGGGGAGCGCCAGAATGAATAACATAATTGCCCCAGTTTGAATGGGGAGAGTCGTTTGCTAACATTCTGTTAGTCAACAGTTTTGCAGCACTGTTAAGTGAATTGCGGAATTCCTATGAATTTACTTCAAATTTAAGAATATTTTAAAAACTCATTTTAAAAGGGATTTTATAAAGCTTTCATTTTAATAATTTTTCGCAACAGCTTTACTAATTTTTAAAATTCATTCGCAGGGGTTTTTTTTTATTTTAAGTGCCAAAGTAAGCATTTTGAGCTCTAGCCGAAAAATACGGTAAAATGCTAAGCGATTTGAACAGCGGCAAAGCTAACATTCCGTTGCGTCCGCTCTTTAACGCTATGAGCCATTTACGCTATTCAATTTGCTCTTGATCGTAATATCGTAGCTGAGAGCCGAGCGAAATAACCAATTGAGCGTTGAGTGCCGAGCGACTTTTAGTACTGAGAGAGTTTGAGTGGTTTGTGTATGTAGTACTTAATACCGCCGCAGTGGTCGCTGCTGTATATGAATTTAGGTGCGTTTCAAAGTATTTTTGCAAAATCGCAACAACATGTTGGTATAAGTTAATTTGACTTATAAACAAAGTTGTTCTATTTATGGGCAATTTTGCATTTACTGGCCATTGCAACAGTTAGCTGGCAAATTGCTGTCCTACTTCAATTTCCCCAAGGCAATAGATTAGCTGGCTGTTGTTGCAAACGAAATTTGCGACGTCGTTATCAGCAGCCGCAGGGCAAGCCGGCGCCGCTTTGTTTGACGTTTGGTATAATAATTTTATATGCACATGCCACTGTCAATGCGTGTGTCTGTGTACGTGTGAGTGTGTGTGTGTGTGGAATGCAATTTTGTAGGCGTGCTATGCAGCGACCGTTACAGTTACGCTTGTTTTAACGTCTGCTCTGGGTCAGTCGAAGAGAAGCAGACAATAAAGAAGCGTGGAAAGCGAAAGATAAACACCAGAGAGCTGCTAATAACCGCACAGCTCCACTTGAGTGTGCGAAAATACACACGCACACCCACACCCACACACAGTCAATGCCATTGTCTGTAATCTGTGTTCGCCGCGTAACGTAACGACTTTTTTTTTAAATTAGTTGGCAAATAGTGGGGCGCCACCAAGATAACATTTGTATGTATGTACTTGTATGTATGTATGCATGTGCTGGTACTCACTTGACAATATTCGCGTGATCATATGTATTCAGCTGCTTAAGGAGCGAAATCTCTCGCAGCGTGGACGCACTCACTCCATTCTCGGTGAGTGCAATGCGTACCTTCTTAATGGCCACGAAGTGCCCGGTGATATTGTCGCGTGCCCGATAAACTGTGCCATAGGCGCCTGTAAAGACAATGTTAATGTAAATGTAAAGGTTGGCGAAAGCCTACGATTGCAATTGTGTTATACAGAATTAGGTCACACATACACACACACGCACGCATACATATAGAGGCTACAGTTATGCCTATCAAAAGAAAAGAAAAGTAAGGTAAAAAGTAAATTGCAAACTCGAATAAAATGTTAATCAACAAAATACCCAATAGAAAGACAAGGAGAGCATGCAGATAAGAACAAGTGAATTTATATGTACATATATACAATTGTACAAATGTACATACATATATTCTTTTTTTTTGCCATCGTACGAAATAGAAATTTCGCACACAAATATGTACATAGCAAATGATAGCTAGAGCCCAAAACCAAAAGCGAAATGTCAAAAAAAAAAACGAAAAAAAAATCATGCAGTCAGCTGTGTTGATAAGCAACCGGCTGATTTTTGGCTGCGTGGGAGAGACAGAGAGAGAGAGAGCGATAGAGAGAGAGAGAGAAACGAGTAAAACGAAAGAGTGTGACATGACATCGATTCAAATTAGAAAGACAAAATTCTGTCACCGGAAATTTATCACCGGGCGGGCCAGACAGTCGGACAGACAAGTTATACACGGCATTCGGACAGATGGCACAGGGCGTGGGAGTTCTATTTCGGGTGACATTCACTTTCATTTAACATTTTCCGCATGTCTGCCCGATTCGACGATTCGGACGGAGCGCAATCAAATTTTGTGTGACTGCTCGAAAAGCTACAAAAGTCAAGTACAAGGCCAGGTTTGCTACAATATACATATATATGTACATATACATATACAACAAAAGAGCCGAAAACAAGAAGAAGCAGAAAACAGAGAAACAAAAACAAAACAATGAACAGAGGAAGAAATTCGCACTCGATCGACTATTTCGGCGACTCGTTTTTGCGTCTGCTCTTTCAATTGTCACAAAATTTTGCACAAAATCAAAGACAACAATAACAATAATAACAATAACAACAACAAATTAGCAACAACAACAAACAAACAGCGAAAAGATATCCGAAAACGCAAAAGCAAGAGGCAATAATTGAATGAATGCGAAACAGCAAAATGGCAAAAAACCAACAAAAGCAACCAAAGCTGATACATTTTTTTCAATGTCTTTTTTAGAAAAAAGTTGAACTTGTTTTTTTGTTTTTTTTTTCCATGGAACTGGAGAAGGGGAGGCTTGGGACAGTTAGTTACTATCTTCAAAATGTAACTTGATCTGCCACGCACGGCACGGTGCGTGACCGGAGGTCCCGTGAAATTAGCGCAGGCTTAACCCATTGTTGCCCGCCCTCAGCGCATCCCTTCTACATACACGCCTATGCTAAAACATGCCAAAAACGAAAAAAAAAACCAGTCACAATAACCATCATTAGCATTCACCATGCGCAACTCTTAACTCTCCACACAAGCTCAGCTCTGTGACGTAATTGATATATGTCGAAGTATTTTACGGCAAAAAAAAGATACACGAGCAAAAGCTTGAGATATTTATTGACTGCCTAATCGATGATTGTACCTGTGGATTTTATTAATTAGATTTTCGTCATTTTTCAAACAAAAATGCACGTGGTTTTCGAAAACTTTCCTGAAAGTATGCAATGAAATTTTTAAAACCCTATTCACAAGGCTGGGGAGTTGGTTCTGCAATTGAAACTACATTGAAAACCCAGTATTTCCCCATGTCAGTGCATTCGATGCGGTTGTTAAAGTTTGAACAAGCGCAATTGGTTAGGCAATAGCTGAAGGATAATACCCTACATGTCGAAACTGTTTACTGTTATACACATTCGATTCGATTTCTATATGCATTATCCAAATTCATTCAAACATTTACACATACCTGTGCCGATAATATCCAGTTCCTTATAGTTTAACGGTACAATATCCTCCACACATTGCGGTTCGGATAGTTTTTGCCGTTTGCTTTGCGGTGCAGATGCCATTATACTTAATTATTTATAAATTTAAATGCAATTTTAAAATTTTTGCTTTGGAACTGCAAGAGCTAGAACAAATATTAAACTTAAATCACATTTGCAAAAACAGGGCAACAATGGGTTAATGGCTGCGCCCAATTGTCAAGGTCAAAATATAACACTTTGAAATAGTGACCAAAACGCAGCAAAAGGTGAATAACGCACATGGTCAACGTCAACGCCGGGTTAACATGTTGATAACATAACGAAATCGACGCGTGCAACAGGTGTTAATTTCGGTTAGCCTATGTTATGGCTATGCCTATGCCTATGCTTACGGCTGTTTCTATTTCTGAAGCTAATCTCGCTTGACACTATTCTCTGCTGCTGCTGCTGCTGCTGTAGTTGTTGTTGCTGTTATTTATGTGAGTTGTTGCTGTTGTTGTTGTTGCAGCCGGTCAACGAACCCGGTTGAGTTTTTTCGTTTGCTATTAGTTCTGTTTGAACGTGTATTTTTTAATAAATTCATGTATTCTCTGGCCAGTTAACCATTTCAACTGTTATTGCCATTGCTTTGGGCTTGCTTCTGATTTTGCTTTTGCTTTTGCGTTTACTGCATGCGAAGAGCAAGCACAAAGGCAACATATTTTGTTGTTTCTTTTTTTTTTTTTTGCCATTTGTCAATTAATTCTAATCGCAGCCGAAAGCAACAGTAACAACACATAATAATAATAATAACAATAACAACAACAGTAACAAGAGAGCAGCTACACGAAAGAGCAACAAAATAAATACATATAAAAAAGTACAACAATTTATAGCTGCTAAATTTCGGTTATTTCATCACAACGCGAACGACGTGCACATACCCTTTGTCATAAAACGCGACAGAGAAGCGAGTGTCAAAGGAGAACCAACAAATTATAACAGTTAAAAACTAAAAAGCACAAGTAAATGCAACTATGTATAAGTATGTGCATGTGTGAGTGCGTGTGCGTGTTTGTGCGCGTGTGCGTGCTGCTCCTGTGCCGGCGGTACGAAATGAAAAATAGCTGATATACTCTCACAATTTGGCGTTGCGATTACGTGTGTGCGAATTATAAATATTAGTTAAATATTAAAATGTGTTTTGTGTTTGTCAAGACCGAATAACAGCAACAACAAAAACGCACGGAACATGCTTAGCTATAATTGTACATCGAAATGTAGTATGTATGTACTTGTTGTTTGTTTGTAAGTATGTGTGTATGTACACTTACGCACACAGGCAAACACAGACGCGATCGGTGAAATTATTTAATTCCGACGAAAAAAATGCTACCACTTTAACCGCAGTAAAAAACCCCAGTAAAAACACGACGATCACGATTAATCAACTAGTGAGACATACCGGCACCTGCACCTGTATTAAACACTGTATTTTTTAAATAAAAATAAAGATTTGGCCACTAACAATTTTTGTAACAAAGTGAATAAGCAAGCAAGCGAAATAACAGCACTCAAATAGCACTCACACCGCATTTACGATATTCATCTTGCGTCAAGAGATCTTCAAATTGTCTGTCCCGTGTTATCGCTCTCTTAGAATGTTAACATTAACAGAGGCCAGAGGTGAGTTTTCGTTAACGGTTAGCGTATGTACAAATTCAAAAAAACTGGTACTTTATTTATTCAATAGACATTTTTGGGTACTTTTGCTACTTTTCCCCCGTATAAATAAAATGTTGTGCAGATATTTAACATATTTATTTTGGTACATAGATATTTTGGTTATAAAAGTATATAATTAAAAAGTTTTCAATATCGAGTTGGTAATCTATTTGGCTAACAAAAAGATTTTTTCCATACAATACAATAATTTCAACTGCGATTTGCCAATGTAATTTCATAACTAAAAAGGTAAACAAAATATTTCCCCTGTTTAAAAAGTTTGCGGGCAGCGCACTTCAAACTGGTTTGACATCACACTGCAGCGAACATCAAACCAGTTGGAAGCTGCGTGCAGCTAACTTCAAGCTAAGGCAAACAGGCTTGCTGCCAACTTCACGTGTGTGCAGCGTTGCCACCTAATTGATGCATGTCCGCGAAATTCAAAATATAAACGTTTCCACAATGCGATGTTAATGTTGTGCTAAATTGTATTTGGGCAACGACTGACTTGATATGTGTTTTTTTATTAGCAGAATGTTTTTAATTAAGGAAAAATCGGCACACCAGCCTTAAATTTCCATCATTAAGACATTGTGACGATCCGCCAAGTGATAATTAAACGCTTTGCAGTGACGTACACGGCGAAAAAAACAAACAACCAACAATGTGACAATTGATAAAGTAAATAAATACGACATAGCTAGACCGATTTGCTAAGGATTACTGACATCTATTTGAGCTGCGTTTAGCTGGTAAAACAATTAATCAATGGCTCTTTCCATATCTCAATTATCGAACCGTGAAGAGTTCAAACCCTTTACGTGTTATATATTTTGTTATGAATCATTTACGATTGATATGAATCACACGCAGCCCACCAACCCGGGCAGGCCCAGTGAAAATTAGCTTAGCCCCCATCCGGCGGTGCCAGTCACAGCCCCAACCACAGCCCCAACCACAGCCCCAACCACAGCCCCAACCACAGTCCCAACCACAGTCCCAGTTCCGAGTTCCACATTCACATGCACATAAAAGTCTGTTTAGCACCTCGGCTGCTCTTGACGGAAGCTGCGCAGGTCCCAGCCCATATTTCTATCAATTAGTTGGGGCAAATTTGATGCTGATTCAAAAAAAATAATGCAATGGCTCATCAAATGGTGCTAATTGCGGTTCTCAAGAACTTTATTTAAATCATCCGCTCAAACGAGCAGTTGACGAATTGTCAGACGGAAAATACTAGCCTGTAAGAAAGGCAGCTTAATTACAGGGTATCGTGGCGTTGTTTTCTTTTCGATTTGGCTATCTTTTGCTCTTACTCTTTGACATTTGTTTGTTTAGCTCTGTTTGTCTGAAAACCGGCTCTCGGTTGGAAATTAATTAAAAATCAATTAAATTAAATTTATTTAACAAATACGATTTAAAAAAATAAATGTAAAAGATGCGCTGGCATTTGCGACAGCGCCGTGTTGACAATTATGTGCTGCTGCTGCTGCTGTCAAATTTGTTTGAATCGGCCCAGACAACTGTCAATCGGATTGACAACAAGTTTTCGACTCGATTCGGTTTGTTTTGATTTGAATTTTTGCCGCATCACGTGAGTGTGGAATATGCGCAAATCGAACTGGAAAAGCCAGTAGAATATGCAGCCCGAAATGCTCAAAAAGGGAGCATTCAACTTGGCCTAGATCTTGCCTCGCTGACTTCTGTCAACTGTGTCCCAAATAAGTTGCTTGACCTTCGGCTGGGCTAAGCGTTAAGCTTGAGAGATCTCGGTTTGACAGTTTTCCGAGCGGATCAATTTGCCTAATGAGCTCGTCTACATAAGAATGCGCCTAGTTATTTAAATGGGCTTTCCGATTCGGAAGCCGATTAGCGTTAACTAGCTGCCAGCTGCCGGCTTCCGTATTGTTTTAGACGCCACGCCTTAATCCTGTCCAGATTTAATGTGCTTTGTTTAGTGTCTGCGTCATGGAAAGATTTAATTGAACGTAATGCGCAAAGCAAACATTTTCGATTGAATGCCAGCAAAACAATCTAAAGTTGACACAGCACAAGAGTTGTCCATTGCGAGAAAGTGTCCCAAGCAGCAGATGCTCTCGAGCCAAGAGAGACGCCTCCACTGGTTGGCAGCCCCGGGCTGAGCACCCACTGCTAGCCCCTTCGGTGGGTGCCCCGCCAGCTCCTTGGCCAGTTCGTGACATCGGCAACACTTAACACCAGCAACCAGTGCTCCAACAACAACAACAACATCAGCCGGAGCAGAGCAGCAGCAGAAACCCGTTCGTCTGCGTCATGGGGCGGTGCGCGCGGGTCTGCTGCTGCTGCTGCTGCGTCAGCTTGGATAGGGGGGTTGGGGAGGGGCAAGGGGGGGGGGCCGTATGCTTTTGGCCAGATATAAAAGTGAATTTGTGACAAATATTCTGAACAGTTAGTGCGCACGCTCAGCAGCGACAACAGCCACGCAGTCCATGCAAAACCAACAATTATATTTTCGCGTCCAGCAATTGTGATAATCATTATTAACACTTAAGAGTTTGTGCCAGAAAATCAAATAATAAAATTAACAAAATATTTTAAACAAATCAACACACAAATACAATAAAGAACGCGTGTGAAGCAACAACAAGCGATTGTGTCGCAGGATTAAGGCAGCTTTTAGCATTTAAATATTAATTTATAACAAATCAAAAGAGAGACACACACACAACATGTGCCCATTAAAACAACAAGTGAGTATCACAATTAGTTTAAATACAATATTATTTAGCGACAGAATTGTTTTTTTGGCAAAACGTGTTTCGTTTATTAACATTTCGAAAACAACAATTGAAAATAAAGTTAGCAATTTTTATGTTTCTATATAAATATCAAAATTTGCAGCATGCTCTGATTTTATTTTAATTCATTTTTTATATTGTTTTTTTTTGGTTATTTTTCGTGTTTCCAACAAGGTCAAAAACAGTATTAAATTTTAAATTATTCTAATTCTGAGCATGCTTTCGCACATTGTAAAAGATTCGTCTCGTTATTCGGTTCATAAGGAAGTCTGAACGTAGCTCATAAAACTATTTATTTCTTTTTTTTGTTAGCATCTAAATTATCTACATTTGTGGATATATCTTTCTTCATATATGTATCTACATTTGTGGATATATCTTTCTATATATATGTATCTACATTTGTGGATATATCTTTCTATATATATGTATCTACATTTGTGCATATATCTTTCTTCATATATGTATTTACACTTGGGGATATATCTTTCTTCATATATGTATCTACATTTGTGGATATATCTTTCTTCATATATGTATCTACATTTGTGCATATATCTATCTACATATATGTATCTACATTTGTGAATGTATCTTTTAAGATATACATATATGTATATACATGTGTCCATATACATATGTATCTACAAATGTATCTACATTCATGTATCTGCCTTTGTATCTGCTGAGCCAGCAATTCGATTTAATTAGCTGAAAAATCCTGCTGCAAGCTTGAAGAGAAATGCTGCTTGGGACTGCTAGACTAGGGAATGCCCTGTACTTAATTATATAAGATAGAGGCGGCAAATCAGGCTCGAAGAAGAAGTTTTCCTTCTTTCCTTTCTTGTTTTACTATGAACCTGACCCTGATTCAATCAATTTCCCAGAAAAAAACCCGTATTTACACCTTAGCCTATAGTATCGAGCCGTAAGCCAAAGCTCCAGCATATCATATAGAAAAATGGATGTACTATTCTTATAAACAAACTCAAGCAGAGAAATAGGCGGACACACAGATCATTCGTGAATACCCTATACTTAATTAGTTAATGTTCGACTTTTACAATATATTCCTTTTCATATAAAATATATTTATGCATATAAATTCACGAATACTTCTTATATGATAAGATAAAAGGGAAGCTGTTCAGGCATAAATAGATCAGTACATAGATAATATATAGATTCTAGAAATCATATATAGATATCTACCTGCCTTATTATACCCATGTGCACAAGGTATTCACACCATAAATAAAGTTGTAGATACTAGGAATCACATATAGATATCTGCCTTCCTAATATCCTACTAGAAATCATATATAGATGCCTATCCCAGTATACCCAGTAGATGAAGACATTGATCATATGGATACTAGGCCTTATATTTATATAGATATCTACCTAGTAGCTTATCATACCCAATTTGGTATGTGCACAGGGTACTCACAGACCATAAAACAAGTGTTATACATCTTATGGGTTAGCCCTGAGCCACTAAAGCGCGCAACCGGTTACAGATACAAAAACACCGAGATACAAAGATACAAAGATAGCGAGATGCACAGCTACAGATACTTTATTTATTTCTCGGTATCTTTTAGTTTATTTCAGTTTTCTCCTTCTGCGACAGTTATCATATTTCACCAAAAATCAATTAATTGAAGTGGTTCGCGCTGTAAATTTACATAATTAGCCGCAAGGCATTTGTCCATGTCCGCAGCTCGAACTTTGCGGTTATCAATGAAGCAATTTATGCAGATACATTTCGATCTTCGGCTATTCGGCCATTAACTGGAAACAGAAGCGTGAATCAGCGTCGCGACAGTTTTATATAACTCTCGTCTATTGCAAAGGAGCTAATTTTGGGCTATTTTTTGTTTGATTAGACTTTAGCATGTAGATATATATAGATGTATATATGTGAAATGTTGGCTGGATTAACCGCAAGCTGAGCTGTCATTGAACGTCGGCTGGCGCGTTCACCTACACCGAAAGCTGGTTTCGATTTTCGATAGATATCATCCGGTTTTGATTTTTGTTTAGTCTTTAATTTGTCCTCTAAGAATAAGACTAATTTTATTAACACAAAATCAAAATGTGATACATAAATTAAAGTGTTCTCCTCAAAGGCCTTTCGCTCGGAACGTGCATCCGGCTTGGGCAGAGCCGCCAAGGGCGCAGCATATACAAATATAATTTGTGTCCAAATAAGGGTTAGGTACGTTATATTATCATATGTAATTATCCCAGGCCATGCCTTGCCCAGTGGGAAAAAGCAAAGGCATTCGATAATGTTCGAGAGTTGCGCTCTGGACGTGATCATGAATAATTTACGTGCGACTATAAATTAAATTTGCTAGCGATTATATCATTGATATTTGTTATTTAATTTCAATTAATTATTGTATGCTAATTCAAAGCATAAGCTTCGACTTTTTGCTTCGGACTGGTTCTAACAGTTTGCAGAACCGCGTCGGGTGCTCTCTGGGCGGCCTCCAAGCGCTATTCACACCTTCCACATTTGCTTTGTTTTCTAATTGATTTTTTTATATTAATTTTATTTTTATTTCTTTTGCTATTTCCGCAGTTGTACACCCTGGCTGTGACCCTGGGCTTGGCTTGCCTGGCGACAGCCATGCCACAAAATCCACAGCAGCTGCAGGACGGTCCGCACACGCTGCTGGACATCGAGACGCCCAACCAGTTCAGCTACAATTCGCCGCTGGCCCAGCCGGACAGTCTGCGCAACAAGCCGTACTTTGATTTCCTGAGCACGCTCTATGCCCACGACTCGGCCAAGACGGACTTGTTTCGCAATCGGCCGCAACGCGATCTACAGTCACAGCCGGAGCTGGAGCCGCAGCCGGAGCCGGAGCTGAAGGCCCAGGAGCTGCCGCTGACGCCCGCCGATGAGCCCAAGAGCCGTCGCCGGGATCGCAAGCGTCGTGCGATCGTGTTCCGTCCGCTGTTCGTCTATCAGCAGCGCGAGATCCGCAAGAAGGAGATTGCCGCCAGGCGACGCAGCGACGAAGTTAGCCGTCGCAACTACAACGAGTACTACAAGCGGGTGTAGTCTGGCGTCTACGTCCAATGCGATCTTAAATCTAATCAACAACCATGCGCAATAATCATGCCACAATGAGCAATGGCTATGGCTGTCACTGGTCTTCTACAGGGTCCTCTCTAGCACTTAGCTTTTTTTATTATTGTGTTTTAGCCATAAGTTAGCCCCAGCACAACGCACTGCAGACACGAACACGACACTCGACTATCTAACTATCTATTATAATCTATATATATATTATAATTATACACACCCATACACACATAATCACCCACACACACACACACACACACCCATGCATACGCACATCCCTCCTAACTATGTTAAGTAATCGTATCCCTAAATTAATATGCATGTATGTTATAATTGTTAACTGATTTTTACAAATTTGTTACTATTAAAGCTAACAAACGTTAAATACGATCAACTGACTTTTACTTAAACTGCATTCTAATCGAGAATTTGCATTTGTTTGTGCCTTTTCTGAGTTTAAATTCCTCTTTTTAATTGCGAACGTGATTGATTTAACTTTAATTGTTTATTTTCTATGGAAAGGTTTCAGTTCTTTGATTTCACATTCTTAAAACATCCAACAAACAATAGACCAATCCTATAGAAAATATATGCTGCAACTCTAGGATGCTGTAAAGATGTTCCTCAAATATAATTAGATTTTTTGTCTAACAGTCAAGTTAACCATACAAACTCTGTATCTTCGAGATATCTTGGCCAGTCTTTAGATATGGTATATGATATACGAGTATGACATATGATATATTTCAAGCTTACATACTATTATGCATTAAGCCAGACAGACAGAAGTATATGGCTATATGAACTTGACTTTACATACAGATTAAGAACAATTATACCTTAACAAGAACATGACTTTATCAACTCTACTTTTCATACTGATTAAGAACATATATACCTTAAAGGATCAGAGATGCCTAGGCTTTACGCTTATCAAGACACAATTACAATTGAATATTTTATCATCTTGCAGATGATGTTAACTTAAATATTTGCTGAACAAAGGCTTTTCTAAATTTATCTTATCTAAAAAGTGTCAACATCCATGGAGTCCAGTAGCTGCAGCTGAAAGAAAAAATTATCCATTAAAGAAACTGCTAACAATTACATAATTAAATTGATATAAAACTATCATAATTACATGATTAATTAAATTGTTATCATTCGCCCCAGACGATGTTCTCGATCCAGTCCGTGTAGAGATGCACCTTGGTATAGACACTGGGAAATTTGTAATTGCCACAGATGACTCCATACGAGGTGACGCCAATCACCTGCTTGAGGCAATGGTAGGCAGGATGCTGCACGAAAATGGGACCACCGGAGTCGCCATTGCAAGTGTCCGCATTGCTGTTGGGTGACCCGGAGCCGGCACAGAACTGAGTACGGGATATTATGCGGCTCTCGAGTCGCTCGATGCACACCTTATCGCTGTAGCGCTGCAGACCCACAGTCAGTAGATGCGATGACTTTCGGCCAGAGTTCTCGGTGTGGCCCCAGCCAGCTGCATTCAGATCGAAGTGCTCATCGCCGCTGGCGGGCGGCAGGCAAGCGGGTGCCACATGATCATTCAGGGTGGCATTCCTGTCCAGCTCGAGCAGAGCAATGTCATTGACACGGGCACCGTCGTCATCCTCTGCGTACGCCGGATGCACCACATAGTTAACCAACTGGAAGTCCTGCGGCTGCGCATCGTCCGTGGTGCTATTGTAATCCAATTCACCCAAGCGTACAACATATTTGGGCGACCTAAAATTGGGATCCAGACGTTGCGCCTTCGTCTCTGTGGTCTCCAGGCAATGGGCAGCGGTCAGCACGAACTTGGGATGGATCAGTGTGCCGCCACAGTCCCAGCTAATGGTGGAACCACCAGGCTGCCGTGTGCCGAGCAGCGCCATGAAGGGAAACTCACGGCCTTTCGCCTTGGTGCCGCCCACAATGAGGGGCGTGGAACGGCACGAGGATCTGATGTCATTATAGCGACGGCACTCTGTGGAATGGCCACATTTCTTATTAATACAACTTGAATCTTGGCAAATTTCTTACCCTTTTCGAATAATCGTCGCGTATCCGCAATCGTTTGCTGTCTTTGTTGGGCATTCAGCGGGAGAGGACAACAAACAATGTCGTTGAACTCATCGCAGTATTTGACATCATTGGGTCCGATCAGATGTTGATTATAGAAGATCACCGGGCACTCGGTTGAGGTCAACTCTCTGCACTCGCCGGTGCCATTGTCGCAGTATTCGCCGAGCACTCGGCCCGACGAGGCTGACAATAAAATAATTGCCAAAATTGTACAGATCGTGTTCATTGCGTCCAGCGGCCGGCGAGTATCTGACGCGTTCCTGCCAAACCTGATTGAAGAACAGATGGTAAACACACAAATAAAGCTGAAAAGTCCGCTAACATACTTGCGTTCCATTCACTCTCAGTTTCGCTTTTTTTTGTCTTATCTCGAAGCGATCTGAAATACGCACTTGAATTGTATGTCTGATGTGTCAAGGTCAGATTATACTGAACTTTAACGATTGTTGATTAAATTGAAAACATATTTTAAATGCAATTATTACCTGATAACCTACATATCAAATTTTGGCATATGCTAAAAGAAGTTAATTTCAATTGCATCGATTGCAAAAACCATTATACTATCCTATACACTTTTCAACATTATTTTCTTTGCACTAAAAATCACTCAATTCCGTTTATATATGTAACTCTTGTTTTTCGAACTTAATTAAATTTAACAGCCTCTAACTAGAATATCGATATCGATGGCATAACAACACAATAGTCGATGCAAACATTTCCCCTACTGGTCGATAGTTATTTTCGAAACTAATCTACTAATATACACTCTGCATCGAGCATTCCAATTTTGGCGCAAAAAAAAAGGAAAATGACATCATCCTATCGAATATTTTAAGCTGCACACCATGCACAAGTTATCGGAAACAGCATATGGGCCTCATCCCTGTACAAATTTTTGTGCGGTGGTATTTTTATCGTTATCGGAAATGCTCAAAATGCGATGTTTTCGGCACATCACTAGTTCTTCTATGTACCTCGACGCTGAATGGTGTGTTCGCGCACACTTTTCTGCAAAAAAATAATTTTAAGTGCAGAAATAGGCGGAAATACTGAAGAAACATTGCATTCGCGATTACAGCACAATTTTTGCAACGCGCCAACACTGTTTTCACGCACGGATGCATACTTATGATGTGGATATTTTGTGATTAAAAATTTTCCCCATCTGAGGTACGAAAAAAAAATGGTTGAAAAAAAATTTCCGCCCAACAAAGAACTGACGCGGACGTAGAAGCAGCAGACATGTATATATATAACCGTCTCGCTCTACCGTCGGTCATTCGATTAGCATGTTTGAAAAGTGCCGCAACTAGCAACTTTAAACCAACCTAAAATAAACGTGCTGCTTCAAAAAAATAATTTTATTTATAATGGCCAAGTGCAAAAAGTATATTTTCTTGAAACGCGCGTGTGTGTATAACAAAAAAAAGGAAGCGCAGCCATTTGCAATGCAGAGTTGCAAATCGATTGAATTTTGCAGGGATGCAAGAGGCGGTCGTGATAAGCGATACGCATTAATATCACTGAAAAAGTTCTAAATGTAATGATTACGCAGCAGAAACAGAAACAGTGTAAAGATACTAGCTGTACATTTATGGGTTTAATTACGGCTGACATATATATGTGCATACATATATGCTTCCCAGGGCTGCAAAATGTGCGCTGTCAATCTCAACACGTTATAAATTTGTGGCGACTGTAATGTTTTTTTTTTCCCGCCTTTTTTCAGATGTCTCAAACATGAATGAAGGTAATTCAGCAGGAGGGGGGCATGAAGGGCTAAGCCCGGCCCCTCCTGCTGTGTCAGACCGTGTAACGTTACAATCAACGGAAAAATCAGTTACAACGCCAAAATCAACAGCCTCAACAGCTCATAACAACAATAAATCATCTTCAGCAGTAGCAACAACGCCACAGCAACAGAAACCCAGCAAACAACAACAACAGCAGCAGCTGCTCAGTGCGCAGCTGCCTGTGCCGCTGTCGAACTTGTCGACAGAGGCAACGGCAGCAGCAACGCCAGCAGCAGCTCCCACATACTCCAATTCAGCAACAGCAGAAACCTCCGTCTCCGTCTCAGATTCCACATCGCCACCCCAGGCCAAACGTCAGCGTTTAGAAGATACGGAAACGAGAGGCGAGGCCGCCAGCGATAGCAAAAACAGCAACATTGTTGGCGCTGTAAGCAGTAATATCGTTGGCTCATTGCTGCCAGCGTCGGTTGTGGCCAGCAGCGAAGTTGGTGGGGCCATTTCAACGGCACTGCAGGACTTAAATGCGCTCAGGAAGCGCGTACTCCAACAGAAATATCAAATTTTGCGTAATCTTAAGGAAAGGTAAATATGTCCTACTATAAGATTATATATTGAAAATTGCTTACATTATTATTTCAATTTGCAGACATCTTGAAAATGTGTCCGAATACTTTTATTTACAAAACGGTGGCAGTATGATGGACTACCCCGCGTGGCGTAAAAAGACACCAACACCGCAGTTCATCAGCTACAGCAATGCGAATCGTATCGAGCAGCTGATACTCGAAGAAAAGCCAAGCACATCCGCCGCCGCAGCAGCAGCCGCTGTGGCCCAAGGACACAGAACAACACAACAACAACCTCCAAATTTGGATTCGGTCGTTAACAACAGCAACAGCAGCAGTAGCATCAGCTCTGCAACAGCAACAACAACTACAGGGACAACGGGCATACAGTTAGAGGCGGATAACACCACACAAGAAACGGTAAGCACCTAAAGCATAAAAAACTTAATTATAGAGATTTTATTTGTAAATGTGCATCGGATTGATAGCTAGCTTCTGAAGCATTATTGTGCACAAATATCTTAAATAATTGAATCTCTTTTTGCAGAACACGCAATCTCTATTGCCAGCAAAGCCTGGTAGTAATACAACATCAGCAGCGGCAACAGCATCATCAAGTCCAAGCAGCAGTGGATCAACAACTACAACCACAACTGGAACATTGTCTACAACTAACAGCTTAGTGGAGACGAGCGGTAATGCATTGCCACCGGAGGCGGAAATAAAGATACCAGCTGTTGGTGCGACGCCGGTTGCCGTCTCCACGAAGCTACCCGCCGCCGTAGTACAGTTGACGCAGCAAGGTAAGCTAAACATGTTCAGGATTAGATCTATTAATCAGGATTCAAACTCTCTTGATATCTCGTATCTACCATTGTTATTATTTTGTGTTTTGTTGTATTTCTGTTTTTGTGTTTCTTGTTTTTCAAAATTATTGTACATTGAACAAAAAAAAATAATAGAAACATGTCAAAATTCATACATTGACAAAAAACTTTTGCATACAACTAAGATGAAAATAAACTGCTAAATGCTACCGAATCCCCCCAAAGAAATAGTACGCGTCCAGAACAACTATCCAGCAACTGTAAAAGTACAACGCACGCCCTGCACAATACTATAAAAGTTGTTGTTTCGCCCAAGCTAAATTAAAAATCACTAGCAAGAAACCTATAAAATGCTCTACTAATAAGTATCTAAAAACAACAAACACGAATTTAATTTATTTGACCCACACACGCAAGAGAATACTAAAAATATTTACATGTATGCATATATATATAATTACAACTACATACACATTCTTTCAATATAAATTAATTTATTGTATTGCTGTACATCATTTGATTAACGATTTCCACCTGTTTTTGTTAACACTTTTTATGTTTGATTTCTTATGTTTTACAAAACATTCTCTCACATTTGTTACTGCCGCCTCCTAACGCACACCTCAACTCTCTCAACTCACCATCAAATTGTATCGTTATTATATAGGTCACATACCCGGTAGACCTCTAGGAGGTCGTCACGGTATGGTCTTCGGTCAAATACCCGCGCCTCCTGCCGTAGGAAATTCTTCTGTACCTTTGGTGCCAGGTGCTTATCGTTCGCAACAAATTAAAAACCAAACAAAACAAAATCTCATTTTCATTTATAAGTCCTTCTACTTGTTTTTAAATATCGAAGTATTTTCATATTTTTCATTTTGTTGTTGCCGCCAATTAAAAGCGTAGTGCATTTGACTTATACTATATATACATTACATTCGATGTGCCTAATATATTATATTATATCAAAGATTTATCTTATCATTTCTCTAGAATTGGTGTTTCTATATACCTTGTTTATATATATTTATTTCCTGGTTAAATGCTTACGAATAACTTGTCTTTCCATCTTATTCAATTGAATGTAAAAATACATTGATTTTTTGGTTTGCAAAATTATGCATAGCTTAGATTTGACTTGATTTTTGTCTTTATAAAGTTGGCATCAGAAAATTTGAACTATTTAGGAAATATATCTCTCACATTTAACTTCACATTTTTCGATTCGGCACGCCGAAGTAATCCTTGCTTTCAATCAATTCTTAACTAGTTATATTTTTGGCTCGTTTTAAGATATTTTTTGCTGCACCTAAAAGCGTTTTCTTGTACGCCAACTCAATGCGCTTGAAAATCGTAGCTGTGTGCTAGATCAAAGCTAAGTTGCAAGTGACTTTTTGAACTTTAAATAAGAGTCCATAACGCTGAGTACAATTCCAGATTAAATTTAAGTAGGTAGATGGTAGATCTATGATATAGCACCTAAAAGCGTTTTCTTGATTGCTTTTTAAACGCGCCTGAAAATCGTAGCTGTGTGCCAGAGCAATTGCTGCGGTTGCAAGTGATTTGATGCCAGTTAATGCATCAACTACATTAACACCATGCACAAGCTTACTATAAGATAGATTAGGAGAAATGGCTTTCCTGCAAGTGCACTCTGTGTCACATTGATTTCCCACATGTGATGACAATTTGTTAACTTGCTAGATTAAACTAAAGCTGCGATTTATCCATGTGATTGTGTCCTTCAAATTAATTGCATTGAAAACGCGCCTTACACTCCTTTAAAATAATGTAAAGAATTATCATTCCTTATTTCTAGATTAAGTTTAAGGTATGGTGAAAATATAATAAAACACCTAAAAGCGATTTGGTGTCACTTACATATCCAAAGTAATTCTTTCTTGCAAGAGCACTCTGTCTCACATTGAATTTTGTATCCACCTGTGAGACAATTAAATACCTTGCTAGACTAAATTAAAGCTGCGATTTATCCATGTGATCGGGTACTTATAACGATTCACATTGAAAACGCGCCTTACACTCGTTTTTAAATTTAAGAGTTATGTTAGGGATTTTCATTCTTCTACTTACATTTAGAGTTAGGAGTTTTGCATGCTGTTGACTTAGTTTTTTGCCTATTTTAATTTTCCCTTGCCTCGTTTAGAAAACATTTAAATACATAAACTATGTTACACTTACTGATTCGCAAGAAATATGGTTCAATTAATTGATTGATTGATTGGAACGTTTTATTTTTTTGTTACTTAACTATTATCGCTTCAATATGGTAGCGTGTGTTTGGCAATGCAATTTTCCAGCATGCAAGTTGGCTAAGAGCTTTCTGAAATATCTTGGAACCATTCCTTACTAACTTCTTGTATCGTTTTTGTTTACCTCAAGGTGGCACGCCTCTGGTGCCGTGCAGTAGCTCCGTGGGTTCAACGGCGCTGCGTCGTCCAAACTCGCAACAGAATGCAACGGGAGCAGCGACTGGAGCAGCGGGTGGGGCAAGTGGCGGAGCGACGACAACGCCACTGTACACGGGTGGGGCCAACGGTGCGACTGCGAGCGCTGGTGGACTGACGCCCTGCACGCCTGGTGGCAGCAGTGGAAGTCTGTTGAGTCCACTGGCGGCAAGTACAGGCACACCCAACAGTGCGCAGGAGTTTTCGTTTAAGGCCAAGCAGGAGGTGTACGTAATGCAGCGTATATCCGAACTACAACGAGAGGGATTATGGACTGAGCGGCGTTTGCCCAAGCTGCAGGAGCCCAGCCGCCCCAAGGCGCACTGGGACTATCTGCTCGAGGAGATGGTTTGGCTGGCAGCTGATTTTGCGCAGGAGCGCAAATGGAAAAAGAATGCGGCCAAGAAATGCGCCAAAATGGTGCAAAAGTATTTCCAAGACAAAGCAAATGCGGCACAGCGTGCCGAGAAGGCGCAAGAGCTGCATCTGAAACGTGTCGCCTCCTTCATAGCTCGCGAGGTGAAGAGCTTCTGGTCAAACGTGGAGAAACTGGTCGAATATAAGCACCAAACAAAAATCGAGGAGAAACGCAAACAGGCGCTCGATCAACATCTCAGTTTCATAGTCGATCAAACAGAGAAGTTCTCACAGCAGCTGGCCGAAGGCATGAATAAAAGTGTTGCCGAAACGCCCAGCCTGACATCCAGTCGGTTAACTTCACCCAAGCGCGAATCTGATGGTGAGTTAAGATCAATTTTTGTAACTGTAGTATTATGTAAGGTTTAATGGGGTAAAGAAATGTTTCTATCTGGAACAGAATGTGTTCCAGATAATATAAGATAATTTGTAATTGCAAGTCAAACAGGTCTTTATGAAAAAGGGTTCAAAGATATTTAAGAAAATCAGAAACATTTATAACATCTTATGCACATGATGAGACACTTGAACTGAAACGTTGTTGTGGTCTATTTTTGAACACTTCGATGTTAACAAGGGATGGTCGCATTTGCGAGGCATTTGTCTGATGCATTTAGAAACAAAATCTATTACGTAAGGTTAAAATATGAAAAACCTGCTTTAAACTGTGCTTGTATAATTTCTTCCGCAGACGAGTTTAGGCCAGAATCTGGCTCTGAGGATGATGAGGAGACAATTGCCAAGGCCGAGGAAGAAGCAGCCGATGTCAATGAGGAGGTCAAAGCGCTGGCCAAAGAATCTCAAATGGACTTTGATGATTTTCTCAATGATTTGCCGCCCGGCTACTTGGAGAATCGTGATAAGCTTCTGCTAGAGGAGCAGAGCTCAACGAAAGGCGCTGCTTCCGCTAGTGGGGCCGATGCTGCCGATGGTGGAGACGACAGCGATGATAGCGAATTTCAGGCAAAGGAAGCCAGCGATGATGATGAGAACACCATCAGCAAACAGGAGGAGGCGGAGCAGGAAATTGATCACCAGAAGGAGATCGATGAACTGGAAGCGGACAATGATTTGACTGTTGAGCAGCTGCTAGAGAAATACCACTCGGGTAAAATTGATGAGCCGCCCAGCGCCAAGAGACGCAAAATAGCTGTGGAGACCTCGGAGCAGGACTCAGATGATGATTCAACTGCGGTTGAAGATTCAACAGATGGCAGTGAAGTGGAAGCTAGTGATGAAGAAGATGAAGATCTCTCTACCATCAAGACCGATACAGACCAGGAAGAGGCGGAGCAGGAGGATGGTCTCAAAAGTCTACTAGCTGATGCCGATGGCTCTGTGGTAGGCGGCGCGAGTGCTGCAGCTGCTGTTAGCAGCAAAGACAACAAGGATGACATGTTAAACGATGCTGCCGCACTGGCCGAAAGTCTTCAGCCCAAGGGCAACACGCTATCCTCCACAAATGTGGTTACGCCTGTGCCATTCCTGCTGAAGCATACGTTGCGCGAGTACCAGCACATTGGACTCGACTGGCTGGTCACGATGAACGAGCGCAAACTCAACGGCATCCTTGCCGATGAGATGGGCTTGGGCAAGACAATACAAACGATTGCACTGCTGGCGCATTTGGCCTGCGCCAAGGGCAATTGGGGTCCCCATTTAATTGTGGTACCATCATCTGTGATGCTGAATTGGGAAATGGAGTTCAAGAAATGGTGTCCCGGCTTCAAAATACTCACCTACTACGGCACCCAAAAGGAGCGCAAAATGAAGCGTGTCGGCTGGACGAAACCCAATGCGTTTCACGTCTGCATTACCTCCTACAAACTGGTCGTTCAAGACCAACAAAGTTTTCGGCGCAAAAAGTGGAAATATCTTATACTAGACGAGGCGCAAAACATTAAAAACTTTAAGTCACAGCGCTGGCAACTGCTGCTCAACTTTTCCACCGAAAGGTCAGTAATTTATTTGTTAATTGGATGCCATTACACGTTGTTGCAATTGCCCTTGTGCCAGCACCAAAATCAGTAACCAAGCGATTGCTAAACTAGCTTGGCGACTACGCTTGGGTGCTAAAATTAAAACACGCTATAATGCCGCATGTATTTGAAGAGCATACTAACCCATTGGAATGCTTGTGGCCTTGTTTTGAGACATGTTTTGATTATTTATTTGCTATTTTTTGTAATTTATTGCTCTCGATATTATTTATGAGTTTCCATTGAAATTTAATGTTTTGTTTGAATAACGAGATAAACTTGTGTTAATTATATTCTTAAAGTTGCAGTTTTGTTAAATGTTAATTAAGTATTTAAAAGCATTTTTTTTTTTTTTTTAAGAAATAATATATGGCTAATATATAATATTTTCTATTTTCCATAAACAGACGATTGCTTTTGACAGGCACGCCGCTGCAGAACGATCTAATGGAACTCTGGTCCCTGATGCACTTTCTCATGCCGTATGTGTTCTCCTCGCATCGCGAATTCAAGGAATGGTTCTCCAATCCCATGACTGGCATGATCGAAGGCAACATGGAGTACAATGAAACGTTAATTGCCCGACTACACAAGGTAAATATAGTTTTTTATATGTTTAGTTAAGTTTTTCCTAGGCGAAGCACCTAAAAGCGTTTTCTTGTACGCCAACTCAATGCGCTTGAAAATCGTAGCTGTGTGCTAGATCAAAGCTAAGTTGCAAGTGACTTTTTGAACTTCAAATAAAAGTCCATAACGCTGAGTACATTTCCAAAATAAATTTAAGTAGGTAGATGTGTAGATACATGATATAGCACCTAAAAGCGTTTTCTTGATTGCTTTTTAAACGCGCCTGAAAATCGTAGCTGTGTGCTAGAGCAATTGCTGCGGTTGCAAGTGATTTGATGCCACTTAATGCATCAACTACATTAACACCACGCACAAGCTTACTATAAGATTGATAATGAGAAATATTTGCCTGCAAGTGCACTCTGTGTCACATTGATTTCCCACATGTGATGACAATTTGTTAACTTGCTAGATCAAACTAAAGCTGCGATTTATCCATGTGATTGTGTCCTTAAAACTAATTGCATTGAAAACGCGCCTTACACTCCTTTAAAATATTGTTAGGGATGATCATAAGTTTATGTATGGTCTTGCTTTTTAAACGCGCCTGTAAATCCAATTCAGATTATATATCCAAAGTAATTCGTCCTTGCAAGAGCACTCTGTATCACATTGATTTTTTATAACCTCATGTGAGACAATTGAATACCTTGCTAGACTAAATTAAAGCTGCGACTTATCCATGTGATCGGGTACTTAAAACGATTCACATTGAATACGCGCTTTACACGAGTTCTAGAATAAATATTCCACATTATAAGTTAGAAAGCATGTATTGATTGTTTGTTTTTTATTTTCTTATTTAGGTCATTCGTCCATTTCTGCTGCGTCGCCTTAAAAAGGAGGTGGAAAAGCAAATGCCAAAGAAATACGAACATGTGGTCATGTGCCGTTTATCCAATCGTCAGCGTTATCTGTACGAAGACTTCATGAGCCGATCCAAGTGAGTTTTTCTCTTTAAACTTATTTAGCAAAACTTTACCTAAAACTATTTATATGTGCAGAACCCGCGAAACATTACAAACTGGCAATTTGCTAAGTGTGATCAATGTGCTGATGCAGCTGCGCAAGGTGTGCAATCATCCGAATATGTTCGAGGTGCGTCCAACGATATCGCCGTTTCAAATGGAGGGCATTGCATTCCATACACCGCGTCTAGTCAGCGACATCTTGGAGTATGATCCGTTCACGGTGAGTTTGTGCATGCCACAGCGATAGAATCAGATGCAATTGAATGTTAAAATGATGATAAATTGTCACTGAATATTGCGACTCAATCTATTTTGGAGAGAGTTGCGATCTCATAGGATGTTCGCTGTTGCGAGGCATTTGCCTGATTTTAAATCAGTTCAGTTAACTTAAATGTAGTGACGTAGGACATAAACTAATTGTACTCTATTAATTTTCAATTAAAGCAAATCAATTTGGAGACAGTCAACATGTTGCTGCTGAATCTGGAACAAACGCTAACAGCCTACGTCTCGCACAAATCGCGCTTGCTGTCGCCACCACGTAAATTAATTGAGGAAATTGACAGCGCACCGCAACCCCCGCCACGTTGCCCCAACGGCAAGTACCGCTTTCACATACGTGTTCGCAGCGCTGAGCTGGCGCAGCGCATCAAGCTGCAAGCGGTGCGCGTTGGCGCTAGTCCGGCCATGCGACTGGAGGGCTCGAAAATTGTGCCAATGCGCAGCATATTGCCCAGCGGGCATGTGCTGAAACGTGTCAGCGGTACCATTAATCCCATCAATATGGCCCTTAAGCCTGTGATTATTAATAACCTAATGTCAACGTCGGTCAGCAACAGCAGTGGCAGCAGCAGCAGCAGCAGCAGTTCAGCTCTAAATGTGCTGGGCAGCAGCTCGAAGTTGCTAAGTTCGCGTTCACCCATAAGTGCGCCAACGCCCGCCAAGGTGGCCAAGACGATGCAGGATGGTAAACCCTTCTTCTACCTGGCGCCTGCAACGAATACCGGTGGGGCTGGAGCGCGGCTCACGCTGACCAGCAAAACATCATCAAGCACAGCAACAACTGCGGCAGCGGGAGGCGCAACAACTACGAGCAGCAACTCACCAGCACAAATGCAGCAGTTGAGCAAGGAGCCCATTGTCAAAGATCTTGCCACGCATGTCAAGCTGACGGTACAAAGGCAAACCAATGGCAAGTCTCAGGAGGAGGACTCAACTTCAACGCCGGAGGACGCGGAAGATCCCTACCGCATGCAGCAGCTTATACAGATGCGCAAGGAGCAACGCTTGGCCTCGCTTAAGCGCATGGCTTTCATCAATCGTCGACGCACCGATGCCACGCCCATTTATGGCGCCGATTGCCGTCAGGCTATTGAAGGTTGCATGCAGGCAACACGCACATTGAAGCATTCCACATGGCAAACGCGAGGCTATGCGAACTGCAATGTTGCCATGCGTCAGCACAACGACAACTGGTCGCTGAATGTCCTCCTGAAAAGCTTTGAACAGCGTTGCGCCGAGCTAGCGCCCATCTTTGCCAATTTTGTGATCTATGTACCGTCAGTGTGTGCGCCACGGATTCGACGTTATGTGCAGAATTTGTCATCGACACATTGGCAAAACGAGCGGCAGATTGAGACGATGGTAGCCCAAACGCTATCGTCCAAGCTGACGCTGCTGCATCCTATCATCTCAGCGATGACAACACAGTTCCCCGATCCGCGTCTCATTCAGTACGATTGTGGCAAGCTGCAGACATTGGATCGTTTGTTGCGGCAGCTAAAGGTTGATGGGCATCGTGTGCTGATCTTCACGCAAATGACCAAGATGCTGGACGTGCTGGAGGCATTCCTCAATTATCATGGACATATTTACCTGCGGTTAGATGGCTCGACACGGGTGGAGCAACGGCAAATACTTATGGAGCGTTTCAATGGTGACAAGCGCATCTTTTGCTTCATTTTGTCTACGCGCTCTGGTGGCGTGGGCATCAATTTGACCGGAGCTGATACGGTGGTCTTCTACGACTCGGACTGGAATCCCACGATGGATGCACAGGCGCAGGATCGTTGCCATCGCATTGGTCAAACGCGAGATGTGCATATATATCGATTGGTGTCGGAGAAAACCATCGAAGTGAACATCCTGAAGAAGGCCAACCAGAAGCGCATGCTCAGCGACATGGCCATCGAGGGTGGCAACTTTACGACAACCTTCTTCAAGAGCTCCACCATAAAAGATCTGTTCACCATGGACCAGACGCAAGAGCAGGACGAAGGCCAGGTGAACGATGGTAAGCCCGATGAGAAGGACAAGATAATCGCTGCAGAAGTTGAACCAGCCATCGAAACGGAGAAACAATCGCTGCGCGCCTTTGAGCATGCTCTGGCCGCTGCCGAGGATGAGCAAGACGTCCAAGCCACAAAGACAGCCAAAGCTGAGGCAGCCGCCGACCTGGCCGAGTTCGATGAGAACATACCCATTGCGGATGAGGCCAATGCGGAAGGCGGCGGTGTGCCCGTTGAACTGAGCAAAGCCGATCTGGAAATGCAAAATCTTGTCAAGCAGGTGAGTTGCGAACTATTATTTCACGCGTGAGCATGGGCAGCGCATGCTTCTATTAGAGGATCTTCCCAGTGGCCCTTTAAGCTAGCGCGCGCTGCCCAGAGAAACTTCAACACGAAGCAGACGTTCAGACATAGTCGAAGCGATTATAATCCACGCTCGATTATATCACTCAACGTCTGACATAAGCTTCAATTCGCTCCTGCCACAGGATATGTTCTTAATATAAATTGTTTCCACTCGCACTTTCAGCTCTCGCCCATTGAACGCTATGCGATGCGCTTTGTGGAGGCCACCGGGGCCGCCTGGACAGCAGAGCAGCTGCGCGCTGCCGAGGCGGAGCTTGAGATGCAGAAACGTGAATGGGAGGCAAATCGGCTGGCGGCCATGCAGAAAGAGGAACAGCTGCTCAAACAGGAAACGGAGGCCGATGAGCTACTGACCTACAGTCGCAAGGATGCCAGTAATCAGGTTAATACCAAACAAGATTCCAATCTAAGCAAACGAACACCGATTGTAGGGGTAGGCATTAGGCTAACTAAGCATAATAAGCGGGATAAACGGTTTAAGCAGCACGGTGTAGCCAGGGGTCCGGGGTTAAGTAGAAGTGTAAGCAACAAGCCAAGAACAAGTGTGCAGCAAGCTAGTCCGGTGCGCACGCGTCGCATCAGCCTCAATGTGAGTGCTCCGGCCAAGAGCAGCTGCAACAGCAGCAATAGTAACAGTAAAAGGTCAGCGGTTGCGCCCGCCAGGCGGCAGACGCGTCTGCATTCGTTGGGCGTAGTCAGTACCACGTCTACGGCGGCGGCCACAGCAACGCCGCCCACTAGAAAGACAACGCGCACAGCAATGGCAGCAGCAGCAGCAGGCGGTACTGCGGCGACACTCCCCGTAACAGAGGAGCGACCCAAGCGCCAATCGGCCAATATAGCCATGACTAAACTAATGAAGACGCCAGCAAAAGCGCCTGCAGCAACTTCACCAGCTAAGAACAATACACAAGCGGCAAAGCCGAGACGCAGGGAAAGCGTCTCCCCAACGACGACGGCGGCCACGCGGCGGAAGTTGCTTGAGCGGCGTGCGACGATATCATCGCCGCTAGCCCTGAAGCAATTGAAGAACAACATCAGTGGGGATGAGGATGACAATGAAGAAAAAGATAATGAGAATGACGACGACGACGACGACGATGGCGATGACGAGGATGCAGAGAGTGCATCCGTTTGCGTTGATGAAGATGGAGATAATGAGGCGGAGGAGGACGAGGATGAGGATGAGGATGAGGACGAAGACGAAGAAGAAGATGAAGAGGAGGACGAAGAAGGGGAAACTGCTGTCTCCGGCTCAGCGTCTGTATCGGCCTCTGGTCAGGGGGATACAACACAAACCGAGGATGATGAGGAAATGCATGTGGAAAGGCTAAATGAGGACGAAGAAGACGCTGATGACACTGCCAATACTGACTCAAATCCAGAAGTCAATGTGGAAACACAGTCCAGTTCAAGCTATGCCACAGCCGGAGAAGACGGCAACAGTTTGGACGGATGGAATGCGCATAATCAGGTGCAAGATACCACAATGACGAGTTCCACATATTACAATGTCTCGGAAGAGTCCGACACAGACGAGCCCAATGATCCCCTATCCTTGTCAAAGGCGGATGCCAAAGCAGAAGCAAACAAGGAATCAACGCCAGCAATGCGGAGGCAGCGCAGCAACAGCAGCCGTGGCGGCAGCGATGATGCCATTGGACACACGCCACGCACACGCTCACGCGGCTCCGTAAAGATAAATCTCTGGACTTTGGATGTCAGTCCTGTGCTGAGCACCCAGAAAAGCAGCGGCGGTGCCGGCAAAAATGTGAAGCGAGCGATGCCGCCACAACAGGCAGAGACAAAAATAATGGCGCGTCGAGCACAAGCGGCCGCCAAAAGACGACTCCTAAAGAATGCCGATGATGGGCAGAAAACGACGCTGAGTCGTTGGATTACCAAAACGCCGCGTGTGCATCTACGCTCCAGCAATGCAGGTGCTGCTGGCACGCCCAATAACAGCAGCAGCAGCAGCGGCAACACTGCCGGCGCCACAACAGGAGCGGCAGCATCCTCAGTAGTCCATGCCACGTCGGGCGCCAACTCAAATGGTGCCAGCAGCAATAGGTGATAATAGAATGGAGACAGGAAGTCACAGTATTAACTATAACTAAAAATGAATCCTGCTGCAAATCCTTGCTAAAGCCGTGGAGCTGTGTGCGCTGTGTGGTTTTTAGTGAGCGTTTGAAAATGGCCACGCAACTGTTGAGCATACACAGACGCACCTTGAATAGGTGTTCGTCTGTGTGTGTGAAGCTGATTTAGAATTATGTACGAGTATTTGATAGACTGTAACAAGTTTCCTTCTAAGCTAGTTAGGCGGCAAAAATCAATAAAATAATAAAAAAAGGCAGTGAGAAACAGGAAAAGAGAGCGGAAAACGAAAGTTTAGGATAACAAATTCTGTTTAGCATAGGTAGAATCGTAAGTAGGGGGCAGCAAATTGAGACAATTCTAAAACTGTGCGTTTAATTGTAATATCCGAATGCAATTAAGCTCAGATTGAAGCTTTCAAAGCTTCTATGCCACAACAATACTGATATTTTGATAACAGAAAAAAAGCAGATTATTTAATTTAAGTTACACTTCGATGAACAGCGAGTTAGATAAATTGATTGCTGCTGCCCCCCTCCCCCAGAAACCATTTAAGAAACACGAACCCAGATTGTATATAAATACACCCATTAAGAAACGTATATCAGAAAAATATAGTTTATAGACTTTATATTATTTAAGCAGTGTGTGCGGTTAACTTTTAAAAAGAAGTAACTAAAACAAAACAACTCCACTTGTATTATTATTAATTTCGTTGTTAAATTTCTGTTCTCGATCTAAGTCTTCAAAGAAACTCTCCTCAGCTAATGCGCCTTAGTTTATAAGTCTCACTCCTTAGGTAACTTTTTAACTCTATGGTAAATGTTAATTATTTTGCATTCAATAATTTATTTTGTATTCTAAAAAAAAACAAAACAAAACCTTAAACTAGTTTAGATTTAACAAAAACAATCTAAAGACTATAAGCATATAGATTGACTAACAAATAAAACACAAGAATCGATTCGATATGCTTTCAAAAAAGATAAAGAAACTTTAAGACGTTGTGGTTTTTTTTATTTATACGGACAAATTTCGTGCGTGTGTTACAAAAAAAAAAAGAAGAAAATATTAACATTTCGAAGACAATTGCACAAAGTTGGAAAAGAATAAGCGGAAATCATAAGAAAGAATAAGAATCAATCATATTATTTTCTGTGTTAACGAATGTAGAATTCTGTTTTGGTGTAATGAAAAACTATAAGAATTTCATTTAAATAATGTTTATATAGTTTACATAATACAATTCGTTGTATGCTCGTTGGTTTGTTTGTTGGCCCAACCCCCCCACTCACCGCTTCCATCCTGTGACCCCAACCCACCTCCCGTCCTAACACCCACTTCATCGATTTCCGTGTATAGGCAGTTCCACAGACTTTGCCAATTGTTCTTCAGCAACGTACGAAATGATTCCGGAAATAAAAAACAGAGAAAAAAAAGCTACAACGCCAAATCATAAATAATATGTAGATAGATACGATCGATACGATACAGAGTTAGCTAGTTACTAAGCCAATAAACACCACCACCAAAACAGAGTTGCTTCATACGATACGAAAATAATATAATGGAACGTTTATTCTTTTCTTTAACTTTGCTCGGCTCCTCGCACACACGCACGTCCGCAGGTCTGGATATCGCGCAACAGCATGGAGCTAATGCCGGTAAGTGAATTAGTTCTCGCCTTCGCGAAGTGTTTCAAAGATGATTATCAATTGGTATTTGTTTCCCTCAGATGTGGTGTCCGCCAACGCCACCGCAGGATAATAATGACATCTACATTGACCACTCGCTGTCGTTTATGTACGATCTGGAGCCCATACCCGAGACGGAGCTGCCGCCAGTGTATGTGCGACGCGAGCTCAAGCGTTCGCGCACCGATGCCGGCTTCGATGGCAGTCGACGTCCCAATAAGATGCGACGCGAGGATAACTATGTGCCGCCACGTTCGCTATTTGATCGTCCAACAGCACAGCTGGCACGTCTGCGGCGGGAGTTAAAGAATCAACGATTCCGCGGCAGCTTTAAGCCCAACTCAATGATACCCGGCTTGAAGCCACAATTGCCGGCTAAGCCGCTGGCTGAGCCAGAGGCCATGAGCGAGTGGTGCGTGTTTGAGGACATGGCCATTTTACACGTGCTGATCAATTTGCAGGGGCTGCCGTGCAGCCTGATGCTGCTCTCGCCGGGACAGACGCCCAATTGGGACTTGGTCTCGGAGCTGGTGAACTTCTGCTCGAAAACGTATCGTTCGGCCAGACAATGCCGCTGGCGCTACGAGACGCACATACAGCCGCGCGAGGAGGGCAAAGTGGTCGAGAGTCCCAAAAAGCAAAAGAAACTGAAGCCCACACTGCGCATGGAGTACATGAAGAGTCCGTTGCGTTATCTGCGCACCACGCAGCTCTATGCCAGCGACAACAACGCTTCCTTCTATAAGGTGATGCGGCAACGCTTCGATACCATAAAGACGGCATATTTAAAGAAAGCGCCGCCACCGAAGCGTCAGTTCAATGCGCCCAGCCTGATGAATCCCAAGCATATGGAGGTGCTGCAGAAGTTTGGCATATCCAACTACGATCAGCCCGTGTCGCCCAATAATATAGCCGTGATGAAGGCCAACAAAATGCGCGATAAGCAGCGCGGACAAATGCCAATGCAACAACAACAACAGCAGCAGCAGCAGCAACAACAACAACAACAACAACAACAGCAGCCAGTTCAGCAGCAACAGCAAGCCGTGCAGCAGCAGCAGCAGCAGCAACAACAACAAATGCAGCAGGTGCAACAACAACAGCAGCAGCAACAACAACAAATACAGCAACAGCTGCCAACAGTTGCCAGCGTGCAGCAATCGGTGGAATTGGTGCCCAACACAACGGGGACAACTGTTGCTGTGCCCACCGGCAACACGGGTCAACTGCAGCAGCTGCAGATACAACATTTGACCAGCGCCAATGTGGCAACAACGCAACAGACGGCGATATTGCTGCATCAGCCACAGCAACAGCAGCAGCTGCGCACGCAAACCACCACACAGCAGCTGGTGAAGACGATTGTTGGCACCACAGCCAATCTGACTGCGGGTCAACTGCAGCAGCTGGCACATCAAACCTCGAACAATGCAGGAGGCAGTGTGCAGCTGCAAGCAGCACCGCCGGGCAGCCAGTCCAGCGTCAGCGTGGTGCTAACCACGCCAGTGCAATCGCTGCCCATTGCAACGCACAGCAATGTTAACGCCGGCTCGACAGCTCAGATAGTGTCCATTTCCTCGCAGACGACGCTGCCAGTGAATACGGCACCGCAGCTGGGCAGCATTGTGCAGACCCAGACGCTGCCTCAGGTTGTATCCGTTGGCCCATTGACCACCACAGCCACGGGCCAACAGCAGCAGCAACAACAACAACAGCAGACGGCAACGGGTACAGTGACCATGCTGCGTGGTCAGCGCATTGTGTCTACTGGTGCAGCCGGTGGCAATACGCTGCAGGATGTGGTGCTGCAGCAGCGCACCACGGCCGGCGGTCAGTCCATTGTATCTATGCCCGGTCTGGGACAAAGTGTGGGGCAGGGTCAATTCCAAACGCAGCTACGCCTGGCGGCAGTTTCCGCCTCACCCGCCACACAGACAACCCAATTGGTCACCACAAAGGGTATACCTGTTAGCGCACTGCAGCAGAGCAGCAAAGCGGTGCTGTCCGGCACCCAACAGCAGGCGGCGCACATTCAACTCTATCGGCAGCGCAATCTGAAAGTGTTGCAAGCACCGCAAGGCGGACAGGGAGGCGGAGGCGTCACGGCCAGCTTGAATCAGACTGTAGTGCAAACAGCAGGCGGTGCCTTAGCCACTGGCACCATCATCCAAGCCAGCAATCTGATGCAAACGTCGACGCATGTGACCAGCCAAAAGGTGGCCGTTACTGGCATGCCAGGCGCGACCACCGTCCAAGCGGGCAATGTGGTTAGCTCGGTCCAGATGCACGGTCAGGCACGCACGCAGTTTATCAAGCAAATGGCAGCCGGCAAACAGGGCCTGCAGCGTCAGGTGCTGGCCACCGATGGCAGCGGCGGCAGCGGAGCACCTGGTACCAGCGATATGCTGCTCGTCAAGCGGCACAATATACTGGCTGCCCAGAAGGCGCAACAGGCCACCGGGCCGCTATTCACAACCACCAGCAGCGGCAGCAACGCCGCACAGCAGCAGCAACAACAGCAGCAGCAGCAACAGTTGCCGGTGGCAAGTGTCGTGCAACAGCAGCAGCAGCAGCAAACGCAGCAGGTGACGCAGCAGCAGATCGCCTCATTGGTTAAGGCCTCCACTGCAGCGGCGGCTAGTGGCAGCAGTGTCAGCGCCGGCGGCGTAACAGTCTCGGCCACGGGTCCGCCCACAGTGCAAGCGGGCAGCGTGAACATGACGCTGCCGCAGCTAAAACCGGGCAGCCAAATAAAGGTGACGATGCCAAATCAAATGCGGCATCTGCATGTGCAACAGCAGCTGGGCATGACGCGCAAGATCAATCGCATGACCCAGCTGGTCAGTGCTTCGGGTCAGCCCACGGCCACCAATATTGTGGCCACAACGGCAGGACCACAGCAGCAGCAGCAAACGCCGGGCGGCGTCACCGTCTTGCCCGCCGGCCAACAACAACAGCAGCAGCAACAGCAGAAGACAACACCTGGTGGCGGCAGTTTGCAGGCGCAATTGTTGCATATACAAAACACCAAAGCGGTAACCGTGCAACAACTGCAGCAGGTGGTGCGCAGCGGGCAGCAGGCGGGCATCGTCCTGGGCAAGACGAGTGTGGGACGCGTCATACCCGTTTCGGTGGCCTCACAGGCCACACAACGTCAGACCATACAGGTAAGTGCGGGGCGTGTGATTAATAAATGATAATTGGTTTAAGCTTAGCGATTATTTATTTAATACTTTGACTCCTTGCAGGTGGTTTCGGCCGCATCGGCGCAGGCTTTGGCTGCTGGAAATCTGCGCGCTGGCCAAAATCTAGCCAGCGCCTTGAAGGTGGCCACCTCGGGCGGTGGTCAGACGACGCAGCAGACGCTAATTGCAGCACTGCAGCATAATCAAAGGCAGAATGCCAGTCCTGTGCGTCTGCAGACCACAGCCGGTGGCAACTTGCTAGCCGTAGTGCAGCAGCAGCAACAACAGCAGCAACAACAACAACAACAACAACAGCAGCAACAACAGCAGCAGCAGCAACAACACACAAGTATTGCTGGACCCACAGCAGGTCCGGCTGAGGTAATGACCATAACGCAGACCTCGGCGCCTCTGCCAACAGTTGCCAGCCTGCAACAGCAGCAACAGCAGCAGCAACAACAACAGCAGCAACAACAGCAGCAACAACAGCAGCAACAACAGCAGCAGCAGCAGCAGGTTGGAGGCGTACAACAGCAACAACCAACGACGCAACAGGTACGCACGTTGGTCAAGAAAAAGATCATGATCAGAAGCGAGAAAGAATAACATTTAGCGAATCATCGCACGAGAGCCGGCGTACGGCCACGCAATCGGCGCAGAATCATTACCAATACCCACACAACCACTTCGACAACAACAAGCACAAGCACCACAGCAAGCACACTTACAATAACGAGCACCACAACAACCACAACCACAACCAAATGCATTGTCGCCACAATTATTACGGATCATGATTAGACGCCAACAATTTCGATATGTGACACAACCAAATTATTGACAGCCTCTCTCTCATTGCTCATTCTTCAATATGTCCGTCAATCAATCAGTCAATTCAGCCAACCAACCAATCAATCAGTCAGTCAGTCAGTCAGCCAATCAATCATTGCTTAAATTGTACTTAAAACCCTTTTGTTTCGATTGGTTTTACAGCCATGAGCCGACGCGCCGCCTTGCCTGCTGCTGGATCCTGAGCGGGATTTAAGTGATGATGTTGTGTGAAGGGCGTGGCTCACACACACACACATGCACACCGCACACATACACACACACACTCACACAGCTTAAGGCTGTAGTTAATTGTAATTATATAAATAAGTTTTAGCCGTATTAATTATTTAGCCAAAACAATTTAACACGCAAATCTGTAAATCGTATTCCTTAAGCTTCTCCTAGCTTATAGATCTAGTATATAATTATAATATACATTTAGAACTTTAACTTAAACTTTTAACATACATACAATAGCTATATAATCTATGATATAGTATACTATAAAAAAGAGAAAAAAAAGTATTATAATTGTAAAAATTACTTTAATTGTTAAGCTTTTCATTTAACTACTTACCAGTAGATGTTTCTACCATTAGGATCCATACCTCGGACATGATTATGAATATGAATTTATCGCGGATGCAGAATGGAATTAGCCAAACGATTTTGCATCCCAGGTTGGAAAGCTGGCAGGCGTTGCATTAATCTAAGGAAGGAGTAAATAAGATGCATCTTATAGACTCAGAAATCTAAATAACTAGGATATATGCACAGCTTGTGAGGGGAATTGAGAAACAGAAGAAGCAACTACATGTATCCTGTACTCTGCAGATGCTGATTTCAACATTTAGGAGCTGATCATAGGACGTAGAATATCTGATCTTCATTCTTAATGTATGGGGAGCTTCTATGTGGAATCATTTTCGAAGGTATGCGAGAAACTTCTGGCTTGGAAGAGTATATAGAGTAACCTTATAGAAACGCAATCTATAATGCCAAGATGTTAGAGTCACCCGCTGCTTCAACCCTTACGTAATGTAGTTAGTTGATTGTGACCCGTCACACATCTCCATGGCAACAGTCTGTGGCACAACAAACTCCATTGCGAATGGCCACATCCAAGTCAGTTGCCAGTCAGCCCGCAGCATGTCCTTGTTCAATGTGTGCAGTTGGTGGTCAGCGCAATGTGGCGACACCGTTGGCGACTACGATGTGGCCAGTTTGTTGTGTGCTCGCTTCGGACTGGAGGCGCAGGAGAAGGATTACATCATTGTGGGCTCACAGTCCGGACAGCTGAGTATTTATTATCCGCATGGCAATGCATTTGAGGCCACGGATTTGCTGCTGGAGACGCAGCTGACGGCGCCCATCCTAGGTCTATACGCGGGCAAATTTAGCGGGTAGTTCAGCTGCAGCAAATGCCGAGCCTCTAGAGGATTTATCCATTGATTAATTCCCAGAAATGTGCGCAACGAGAACACCAATCAGCTGGCCGTGCTGCTGCCCAATGCGATTGTCATCTACAATGTGCAGGCGCTGAGCGGCTTGGCCGATTATGGCGCCCAGCTGAAGCTGCAGCAGCTGGCGGAGCACAAGTTTCGGCGTGTCGCCTTCTCCATGTGCCAGGGTCACTTTGGCCAGGTCAAGGGGCGCGAGTTCTTCTGCGTGGTGCACTTGGATGGCACGCTTACCTTTTACGAACAGGATGGCATTACCTACGAGTGTCGCTTTCCCGGGCAACGTAGTCTGCCCGCTCCGGTGGTCTACTGTGAGCGCACTGATTGCTTCTTTCGCCTAAGCGCCACCTGGCATCTGCAGTGCTTCAGCTATCAGGATCTGTCTCACTCGCTGGTCACCAAGAGCAGCTATCAGCCCATCTGGTCGCAGTGCATTGGCGAGGGCATGCTCGACATGCGCGTCGTCCAGCTGAAGGAGTGAGTTGCATTTGGCATTGAATATGTTTTCGATTTCCGGTTGACAGTTGACAATCTGCAGGAGTTGCTCCTACATCATGATTCTGGGCGAGCGCAACTTCATCTGCCTGGACGACAATGGCAAATTCAATTTTATCCTAAAGCTCGACTATGCGCCCAAGTGCTTTTACAGCTTCGTCGTGGGCTACTACTGGGGTGAGTGAGAGATTGGCCGCTGGAAAAGCCAATGATTGCATCTGCCATTTTCAGAGCCTGGCGCACGTCTTATAACGGCCATTGTCTCGGATGCCGCCAAGCTGCACATTTACGAGGAGGCCAACATTATTTGGGCCGCCCAGTGGCAGCAGCCGGCGCCCGTGGCCATACAGCGCTCCAATGTGCAGAGTCTGGCGGGCAGCATTGTCACCCTGACTGCCACGGGGCAGCTGACAGTTGGCTATTTGGGCGCCCAGCCGTATCAGTTCCAGGTGCTGCCGCTCAACATGGAGGAGCTGAGCTTTGCCGAGGCGCACAAGCAGCTGCAGCAGCTGGAGGATGAGATCAAGGAGTCGGTGGACATACGCGACATGGACGCGCTCAATCAGCAGGCTGCGGATCAGGTGCGTCTCATTTTCAGCATACAGCGTGAGGTGTTCGATGACTTGGACACGTTGCTCTTGGACGTGCCGGCTGATGTGGCAGTCAAGGAGCTGCCCTCGGCCAAGGGTTTGCTCCGGCTGAAAGTCAAGGCAGAGTTGGCGGAGCTGCAGCTGGTCATACAAACGCCCAACGGAGTGCGCTGCAGCCAGGAGACGCTCAGCCTGATGGATGTGCCAGCGGGCAGCAGCCAGGAGCTAACGCTGGACTTTTACATAGCCGAGCTGTTGCATGTGCACAGCACACGTGTCGAGGTGTTCGCCTCGTTTGTTAGCCCACGAGTAAGCAACAACTACTGCTCCTTTTCTCCTTTGGCTAATCTCTGTCTACTGCTCCGCCAGGGCATACCTCGTGTGCTGCAACAAAGCGCTTATCTGCCGCTGTCCATGTTCTATCGCAGCTGTCAGCCACAGAAGGCGGCTGGCATTAAGCTGACCTACACCATCAACAGCAAGCACGTGCCGCCCAAGCTGGCCACCTTCTTTGGCGAGTTCCTGGAGGCGGATAGCGATGCTCAGGCCCTGGGCCTACAGCTGCTGTGTCCCGGCCTGGAAAAGCTAACCGAACTCATAACCGTGGTGTCAGCCAAGAACTCGAATCGGATCAGGTAAGCGACACAGCTCCCTTAGCTAGGCTTTACTGTAGCTTGCCATACTTGTCGACAGAATACAATCGGACTGTGTGGAAACGTTTGCCATGATCCTGGAGCGCATTGTGAACACCACCCTGCAGCTGGACAGCGATGCGAGCCTGCTCAAGATGCACAAGAAGAAGCCCAAACGTGGTGTACTCAATCGCTGTGTGGAACGCATCATGGCCGCCCCCTTCATACCCGCCCAGCCCATACTGCATCGCGCCGATGTGCACCACGAGACACAGCAGAGTATACGCAAGCAAACGGTATGTCCGAGCCAGGTGAGAGCCGGGCTATTTGTAGCTAACTGTTTTGACATTGCAGGAACAATTGGAGGCGCTATGGCAACAGTTCAAAACGCTGCAGCGCCAGCTACAGGAACAATCGGAGAGCGAGCCGAAGGAGGCCCTCACCATGCAAATCGAGGCGAACTACGACCACCTGATACTGGAAGGCGATAAACTGGTCGAAATACGGCGGGACGAGCACAGGTAAGCTGTCTATTCGACCAGTAATTACCCACCCACGCAGAATGCATACAGTGTCTGAGAACTGTTTTGCAACAGTTGCGTAAATATGAAATTAGCAATTCGATTTTTAATTCTATTACCTATATTATCCTATATATATATTATATATCCGTATACCAATGTATTTTTTTGGGCACAATTTCCTTGATTGATTTTTTCCTACGATGGATTACCTGACCAGTTTCTTAACATTATAGTTTATAATGTTTTTGCATGATGGTTGAGTTTTTACGATCTGACTATTTTTTTTTTTGCATAGCTTCCGTAGACTGAAGCATGCTGTTTTATTTTACCAAAAAGTATTGTTTTTACTGAGTTCTTAACTAAATTTGATGCAAATTACTTCTTTTTTTAATACAGTTTAGCCTAGTTTAATAAACATTCGACTTTTACGTTATTTCTATATAAAAAATTGTCTGAAAAACTGGTTTTCAATGAAATATGTTTTTTTCAACTAATTGTTTTTTTTAATTGGCGTTATTGGAAAAATATATAATTGAGTAAATTCTAAAAAATTGCAAATTTAAAAAAAATAATCCTTAAAGAAAGCTTTCAAGGAATCGGAACCATTTCAACGGACGTAACGATTATATTTATTTGACAAACTTGGGATGCATTTAGTATGGTATCAGACTTCTTTATGTACAAGAGGAACTGAAATTGAATAGTTTTTAAAAATTAAGTTATCAAAGTATTTGATTTATTTTCAAGTTTTAAAAGGTCGGTTTTATTTTTAAAAATTTACCTGTCTTACCAGCTATTCTATATCATCTCTTTGTTATTAATTTTTTTCGTGGAATATATTAATTTAACAAGTTCAACAATTGCTTTAAACTTCGTTTCGCTGCTTTTACTACACTTTCTTGCCCGTCTTGCGTTTCTTTTAAATCAATTTTTGCCATCTGGCTGAACTTATCTTTGAGCCACTGTGTTTAAGTGTATGTGTACCTAAGGGTAATTGACAAATTAGTTGTTTATTTTCGCTTCGGCCCGTGTTCGGCTCGTGTCCAGGCAGCGCAGCGACCTCAACTGCGCCGTATCGTTAGCCAAATGGATAATACACGCATTGAACCTGGAGGAGCGGGTGGTGAATGTTGTTAGCTCGGTACTGAGCGTGCCTGTAGAGGATTGGACAGAACTGGTGGGTATCGAATGACGCATGTTTTGAAAAATGAAAGAAAATGAATATATGTGCGTGCCTAGAGCTGGGAGGAATCGATGGCGCCCGGCATCGATATGCTGCACCATTTCGGACCCTTGATGCGCTCCAAGTCGACATCAACCCATGGCCTGCTGGATGGCACCACCAGCAAGGATAGCTTCGACTACAGTCGTTTCAGACGCCATTTCGCGACACTCTTCGACCGCATCGTGCGCTTGGCCACATCCTCGACGGACGAGCAGACGACCAAGCAGACGGCATCCACGGATCAACAAGTCGAACAGCTGCCGTCTGCACAGCCGCTAAATGAGATTGGCAACATGCAGCGTATGTTGGGCGACTCCATGGCACCTGTGGCACGCGCTGCAAAGACCCATTTGGGCACCTCATTAGAGGCTGTGGAGGACGAGGAGGAGGAATACGACGAGGACGACCTACGCGACATGGGCTACCGCAAGGACTACGGGCCCGCAGACGCTGCCGGCGCTGAGCAGCAGCAGAGGCAAGGCAAACGCTCCGAGTGGGTCAACGAGGATTTCGAGCTGCCCACCACTGAGGAACTGTTCAGCGATTTGGGCATTTGGTGGTAGCTCCACACACATCTAATTCATTCTAATTCAAGTAGATATAGTCTCAAATATATGTATGTGAAAACTATCTCTTGATTTTTTTTAAGTGTTCTATGTTCCCAAATGCTCTTAAAGTTCCAAAAGCTGCTTACAAAAATTTAAATTAAATTGTGGAATGCAATAACTAGTAAAATGTATTGAACGATTTCACCAACGGAAATTTGTTGCAAAAGATATGCGAGAACTTTGCATTGAGCAATTATTCGCTGCGGTCTAATCGAAGGTTCTGCTGGCAATAGAACTGGATTTGGTCTGGTGGCAGACCGGGCTCTGGTCATGTGGGCGTGTGTGTGTGTGTGTGTGTGTGTGTGTGTGAGTGGACTCGTTTATGATGCATCGCTGCGCAGATAAAACACGATAAAAGTCAGAGATATAGCTGCACGCTTACACACGCATTGTTCCAGGCCCAGCTGCAGTCCGCCTGGCCCGACTCTGTCAGGCAGCCAGACGCTGCGTCTGGCATGCATCGTGTGGGCTTTGATCCCCTGTCAGCTGTGGCTGTGGCTGTGGCCTGTGCCTCCAAATCCACACAAATCCCACACATGAAGCTGTAACTTATATGGAGTGTTCAGTTTAACCAGCCGCAGGCTCAACAATGCCTCGTAAATTGGCCGCAATTGAGTGAGAAATGTCGACATCCACGAGCCCAGGAGGAGTAAGTACCTCACTCCCTTCGCCTGCTGCCTTTCTGCGCTGAATGCATTATGTTTGTGTTGAGATGCATTCCATTAAGTAGATAATAAGTTGAAATTGGACGGGTTAGCTTAAACTTATAAGTAGCTACCAATGGGATGATTCTTTGGTTTAATAAGAAGATGTCTTAGACAAACTAATAAAAACGATTGCCTCTTTTAGTCTTTATAGAAATAAAGGTAACCCAGAAACGAGCTTTAACAAAGTTTATGATTTATATTATTTGATTAATGTGTGTTTTGAAGGAAACATGCTCAATAGCCGAAAACTCCAATTTCCATTAAAATCAAGGAAAATGAATTAATGTCCTATCCATTAATTTGAAATCGAATTGCTTTGAATCCAATGCGAAATCCAATATATTCTTCCCTGTTGCTGGACAACGCTACAAACTGCTTTTGAACTGAAGCTTCTCGAACTCGGAATTCCAATTTCTTTTTACTCTTAACCAGGGGCCCGACAAAACATGGGACCCTAAAGGCAGGAAGTTAGTTTTAGTCCTGATCCCAACTACCGATAAGGTATTTTGGGCTTGTAACCCGGGAGCTAACTTCTTTTCTTATTTTCAACATAGACCAGCCACGTGATCACATCATACCCTTTTTTAACCAAACTTGTCAGTAGTTAAGATCATGGTCAGTGGACTTGGTATTAGGTGGATATATAGCTACAGTTTTTCTCTATTTACAAAGCCTATCGCAACTTATGAACCATAGGGTAAACTATGATAAATGTGACATATTTCTGGACTGAGCTGCTTTAGCTTTAACTTCCATGAGACAGATACACGCTGCTCCTGACAGGCGACGTGTGAGGCTCTGATCTCGGATAATTTGATACCTGTAACTCAATTGAGTGAGAAATCGCGACATTAATTAGCTCAGCGGGTTACTAATTTTGCTGCCTTCAATCTGATGCTTGCTTGGGTGGCCCGAGATGAGAGATAACGAGATACCTTAATCTCGATGCACCTTTTTGGTTTTAATTACTTTCTCGAGTTAAGGTCAATCACATGCAGAGCAACAGTTTGTTAGGGATAAATACAGTGAAATTTCAAGGGTCACGTGAAATTTGTGCACATTTGAAGTACTTGAAGAAACTTGAGATTATAGAATACCGCATATTTAAATTTAATCTGATGCTACATATGTTTTTGGAGATCGTTAAATAAAATAGTTTTTGGCTTTTGAGATGTGCTACTAACATTCATTTCACAAAATCGGTCTGAATAATAATATGATTTGTTTAAAAAGGTGTTTATTATATTAATCGTCCATAAATCAGTCAAGCGCTTTTTAATGCTTAATTAGGCTGTTAATAAATATCGTAAACATCGACTTTAAGCCCTATAAATTATGGTCGACTTCTGTTTGAGATCGAGCCTCTCGGGGTGAAACCCAAAATTCCCTTAACTGAACACGCTGTTTTGCCCCACTGTGCGAGTGCGAACTTTTCACAGCTTTTGTCGCGTGCGATTTAAATGATATTTAAATATAATACATATATGGGATTGTTCATTAGCATTAAGTCAATTTGGCTGGCAATTAACAGCTTCATTCTTTGGACGGAAACGTGCATAAACAAATAAAAAGCTGGAGAAATGAGAAAAGGCTGACAGAGGGATTCGACCGGAAGAAAGCGCCTCAAATCAAATCAAATTAAAGTATTTATATCTTTGGTAATCAATTTAATCAATAATCATTGTAATTGGGATTATATTGCTCTTTGAGTGAACACAGCGCTGGGTACTTGGGATTCGTACCCGTTTCACACTCCGAGGCAGGTTCACCCACCTTGTAGACATGCACTCCCACAGCATAGGTGCTGGCATAGTTGCAGGCCATGTTGTAGATGTACAGGAATGGGTATTGGGGATTCGTAAATCGCATCATGGCACAGCCGACGTGCGTGTTGCGGTCGACCACAGTCTCCGCAAAGTGACCATATTTATCCCTGAGAAGCAGATCGGTTAGTTGAGACATTAAAGAACAGCAGAGATTGACTTACAGATGCCTGGCCACACGAAAGGAGGTTATGTAGCTGCTGTCGATGAGTGGATACTCGCCAAACCAGAGACCCATTGAATTCTCGACAATGCCCCGCACATTCAATGGCATATCGCGCAGCCGGTCCACACCGCACAGATTCTGACCGACATTGCGAAAGCGATACGAGTTATTGCAATCGTCGTGCTCCAGATGGCACGTCTTCAGGTTCAAGGTGGCCAAATATTCGAGTTCCTCGTCCCAGATCATTGTGGCCATGCGCGCTGCCGGATAGTAGCCGGGCAGATGGCCCGCGGCTATAAAATTGCGCCGCTTGTTGTGCTCGGCCAGGATAAAGTCGCGATGCGGCTGCAAATTGATCATGACCGCATCTGGCGAGCAACTCTCATGAAATTCCTGCAGAGATTCTAAGTTAGTTAACGCTGCTGCCGTTGAGACAGGTCAAAACTTACGCCAGTATTGTTGCAGGCCACGTGAGTGGTGCCCGCGGCACACAGTTGTTCATCGCACCAGGATCCGTTGCTGGCCACAAACGTTGTCAGGCTCAGTGCCAGCAGGCAGATGCATCCAAAATAAGATCTCAGTGTCATGTTCTTGCCGCTGCAGTAAATGTATTGGAAATGCAAATTCTGGCAGCTGGCTGAGAAATATTTATATGAAAACGAACCGCAGTCAAATTTTATTTTTGGATATTTTGAGCGTCCATTTGTAATAAGCCGTCAGGTGCAGTTGCCCCAACGAAGCCGATGCGTCGGTTAAGGCAGGTCGTCACGCTGCCTTTTACAAATTGAATGCATACACATTAACGGTCAAAATGTGTGAAGTGACGTCACAGCGCGTACAGAAATTAAACTAACCGCAACCTGCATGTTTCGATTGACTTGACAATTAGTTTATATTCAGTTTGTTGAACTTTTATGGCCATCTCAGTTATATATAATTATATTTGTTATTAATTAAATAACTTATATACTTCCAGGTATATATGTATGCACATCTTCAGCTGGAGGGTTAATAAGCACAGGCAAGGATTTTAAAAAGAAACTCTCAAAATAGTTGGCAGCTCCTTCAACGGTAGAAAAGCCATGTACCGCATTGCCAACTGCTTGAAAATATCGAAAATATCAAATCGAATGGCAATAGGCATCAATGTCTTATTGGAAAGCTATTGATAAACCACCTTAACGATAAATTCACCTTGCTTAACATTGTTATCGAATTGAATTAATCGGTAGCTAGGATGACGATCGACGAGTGCAAGTGCAAAGCCTTAGTGTGTGTTTTTTTTTTGTTTTATTCAAACGAAAGTGATTAAGTTTAGTCAAAGTGTGTGTATTGGTGTACTATTAATGTACAATTTAATCCTTCGCTATGCCGCCAAAGCGCGTGCCAAGTGCAAATCCAGAAGCGTCTTAGCAGCGCGTTGGCCAAACACAAACTGGCGGGAACTGCGGTAAGTCTGGGTTAAAAGCCTTACTATTCTTATTTAAAAAGTTGGTAGCCAAGTAAGTTCAAATTGCAGTTCAGCATAGTGTTTAAAGCATGTAATCTTAAAAAAAAAAGGTAAACATTATAGTACATTCAACTCAACTCTTCTGAGAAAACTAAACCATTAACTCGACTCAAACAAAGTTGAATGAAGTTCATGTAGGACATTTGTCATCTAAGAAAGTTGCCCCAATGTGGGTGTTGCTTGCCACTTGGTTCAGTGACATTTCAGGCCCTGTCGGTGTGCATCCAAAAAGCTTGAATTGTTTGAGATGCCCAATACGGGTTTTCAAATTCTTCTTTGTCGAACTGAACAGATTAGCAGCTGTTTGGCCGGCCGGATAAAAGCATAAAAGCGAATCAAATATTTGCATATTTGAACAAGAGGTTTATGAGCTTTCGGCACTTTGTTGGCCTGGGAACAACAAACGAAAGTGCTGTGCTATCAAATGTTAACCTGTCTAACCTGGACCCAAACTTCTGTTCAATACCCGAACTTACAAATGAACCGGGTATATCTGACTGCCGAATGTATGACGGACAGTAACAAGCATACAAATGAACCGGGTATATCTGGCTGCCGAATGTATGATGGACAGTAACAAGCATTACTTAGGCGAACGAACGAGATGTTCAGATCTAATATTTACTTAAATTCCGGTTCGGGTATTTTGTAGTTGAGCATTCGCCTTGTGTGTTCACTGATTAATTTTGGCATTATTTGGTTAAGCTCGTTAAAACCAAATTTAAATACTCACCGGCAGTTTCGAGTGTATTTAACTAGCAGGCAGTTTTACAACAAATCATTAACTAATTATAAATATTATTATTATAAAATGACATACGCTGATGTTGGGCCAAAAGTTGTCGAGTGGGTGTATTATGTCAATAAATTAATGGTAAATATTGTGTTATGTGTTATTTATTGGTAAACAAAGACTACAACTACAACTAAGCTACGATCTTATGTAAAATACAATACAGACGACAGTGATTTCTAAGTTCTTGGCAGTTCTATACCTGAGCATTATATCTACACACTACACACGATCGTTCAGTAGTTCGGACTATATTGCTCTCGTGTCGAGCACAGACCCGGATAGAATGGATTCTTGCCGGTTTCGCAGCGGGACGCGGCTCGCCCAACCTCATAGACGGGCGCATCCAATGCGTAGATGGATGCGTAATTACAGACCACATTATAGATGTACACATAGGGATAATCGGGACGTGTGAAACGCAATATGGAGCAGCCAATGCGCGAGTTGCGGTCCACCACCATTTCCGCAAAATGACCATAGTCCTCACTAAGGGAATTGCAAAAGAAATATAAATATATTTAATTTATATTTCGATTACTAGAATATTATACTTACAAATATTGTGTGACACGAAATCTGTTAATGTAGCTGCTGTCGATCAAGTCATATTCGTTGAACCACAGTCCCAGCGACTCCTCAATGAGGCTGGTCACATTGACATGGGGATTGCGATCTCGCCAAATGGCGCACAGATTCTGGCCCGAATTGGCAAAGCTGTACGTATTATGGCAATCATCGTGATCCAATATACAGGTGCGCACATTTAGCGAGGATAAATACTGCAGCTCATCATCCCAGACCTAACTTGGAATAGTAGAATCAATCAACCTGACCAAGAAGATGCCTCTTAGCTAAGCTCACCATCGTGGTCATCCGTGCAGCGGGATAATAACCAGGCAGCTTGCCCAACGCGACAAAGTTGCGGCGTTTGTTGTGGCCATGCACAAAGTACGCCTTATGCCGAGAGATGTCCACCTCAAAGGAGTCCGGCTGGCAGCGTCTGTGAAAATGCTGCAGTCAAACGAAAAGACAGTTCAATTAACTTGGGAATAGGTTAATAATTAGACGGAATGCCCTTACGCCATTGTTGCGACAGGCGATGTGCTTGATGCCCGCACCACAAAGATCGGGATCACACCAGCTGAACTGTTTGCCCGCGGCCAGGTGGAGCAGGAACAACTGGAGTACAGCCACGTAGATTATTGAGGTTATAAATGCTGACATTTTGCACAGAAAACAGAAAAGCGCGCCACGCGTTTAAATTTGAATTTAAATAGTACACGAATTTATATGAAAAGTAAGACGACAAATTAAAAATTAATATTGATAGCTGCTGAAGCTAATTTAAATTGATTTGTGAACCGTTTGGGTGTAGGAATTGCTTGAACCTAACGCTTTCAATGAGAGTCTGGCCAATTCGCGTGGCCGTCTTTATTGAATGTTTCTGTCCGAATGAATAGCGCTGACCAGACAGACAGACTCCGAGCCAGAGACGAGAATCGGAGAATCAGTCAACCAAGCTTTACGTGTGTGCTAAGTTAGTTAACTTAACTCTTAGATATACTATATATTTATTTGTATTAATACACTCAGAGAAAGATATTCCAACTATGGCAGGCATGCAATTTGTCCAGGTTTATATTAGATTAAAGGTATACCTCAGTCCTAATCTGGTATGAATCAATCTTGAATGTTGTTCCAAGTATTATAGACAGGAAATTTAAAATCAAAGTTCACTTTACGAAACTATCATAAGTGATCCTTATAGATTTAAATTGGGAGTAAAATACAAAGAAAAAGAAGTTTCATACCTGAAAAGATCTGGAGAAAATTAAGTAAGTTCTATTTGAATATAAGAAGAACACATCTTGGTTTTAGAATATTTCGTTTCTTTTGGGATTTTTACTGTTGGAAAAGTTCTTTAGTTAGTATTTTGTTAGAAATATTTTCGCACATTCGGGTATCTTTTATAGCATGTTTAAATAATAACTTTCTCAACTGTTTTTCCGAGTGTATTTATTCTATTTCTATTTCTCTTGCCATTTCGTTCTGCGAACCAAGCCTTTCTAACACGTTTAAGATAAAACGACCAAGAACAAGTTTATACAAAACAATTTTAATAAATAAACATAAATATTAATTTGAGGGAATGACCGGGAACACGAGAATTAAGCAAGCTTCAGTCCCGTCAGCGTCATCTTAGGCTTCAATCCCAGTTCTTGACGACAGAGCATACAAATTCGGCTATCATTGTGTTAAACATTTATACAAATTGTCTTTATACGATCGAAATATTAGAGGATAAGCGGATAAGTCCATTGAACGTTATTTGATAGCCACGAGCTAAGCCTTTATTTTATTTCTTATTTTTGTTGGCTATAAAACGAGCACGTTTCAATTTATGTACCCATAAAAGATCAATGGCGATCTGTAGAGATCTATGGCATTATGCATATGGGAACTTTGCGTCGTCTGTCGCCTTGCCTAATTTGTGGGCGTCAGTTGAATTGTTTCTTAACTGTATTTATTGTTAGCAATGAATGATTAGTCGACATGGGTAGCAGCAAGTTTTTGATTTGATTTTTATGGCACATATTCAGCACATTAGTGTCAATTCATTAGACTAAACTTAGTGGACAAAATATGCTAATTGCAAACGGCGATAACCAATCGCGAATCGGGCCAAGCGGCTAATCAAAGTTTGCGCTTGGTTTAGTGACAGCCGAACGGATTTACTAGTGCAAATCATTTAATTTACTCAATTAACTGCTGATTGAGCACATTCTGAAAATTTTGAAATAATACAATTAATTTTCTTATGTTCTTATGTGTTTATTAACCAACTTAAACGATTATTCAATATATTTTTGGTGTAGAGAATTATTTAAATGGGATTTAACTTAAAATTCGCAAGCAGTAATTAATTTTAATGTGTTTAAATATTACAAACTTAATTACAAACAAATATACGTGTTTGTTTTTTATTATGATTTATTATACAACTCTTGAAATATTCATAAAATATTAAATTATTATGAATATGAAAACACAACTTTAATGGGTTTATATATATAGAAGCCAATTGTACTATTTTTTATTCATTTACAATCTTTATTCATTTATAATTCTCAATCAGTTCTCTACACTCCATTTAGAATCGTTGCAAGGGGTAAAAATTCCCCGACATAGTAATGTAGATCAGAGTTTTTAGCCGATTTCTAACTTTTCCTTTATTGTTTAATTAGTTACTCCGCCTTTTAAACGACTCTTGATTTTCTATTAATTTGTGATTGATTGATTTTCTCTCAGCTCGCAATTTTCCATATTATTCCCAATCAGTTCTTGTGCCGAATGCCTAACGTGTTAAAACATCTGTTGCATTGATTTAAATTGTTATCTAAGGCGCCACGGCAAGCATTAATAATATTTTTATTAATCAATATGCATATGCGCATTGTACATTAATTGAGCATTAGATAATCGCACTTAATGCCTCGGGCATTGATTGTAAGCTCACAACTTCCGTCATAATTTAGCATCGGGCGAGACAGGGCGACATGTGCATAATTGCCTTTAATTACACTTTACTGATGATAATGAAACTGATGATGAATATGGTGATGATGATGATGATGAGTGCGATGATCGTCTGTGCACAATTTGTGTATCTTTCGCCTTGTCTTCGCCTTTGCCTTGCGTCGCATTTAAATGATTTGAATTGAAATGTCTGTCCGCCCAAACGCCCGCTGGCAAGAAAAGGGGGAAAAAAAAACCACAAAACAAGCTAATTTATATAATTAATAATAAAATATATATTGACAAAAATTGCCATGTGCCGAAATGTCTCATTGTGTGGCAACTTGTTTGAGTCGAGTGGCAAAAACAAAATAACACAAAGTAAAGCTATCTACCAAGTGCTGAAGCTCAAATACACTTGCATAGCTATCTTTATGAGCTAGAGTGCAGCTCTATAAAAGAGTTAAGAGTTGGTTTAGTAAAGTAAATAGGTTGGGCGTGACTTTCTGATCGTGTTTTATTTAATAGTCCACAAGTTAATATCTCAAGATGGAAACAACAAAAATCAATTTGTTGACATATAAAACTAAGTTGAAAAGAGCCGGTAGAGCTTGAATTCAATATTGCTTACCTTTATTTATAATACATATCTTATTCAATAGTCAATACTGACATTAAAAGAGCAAAATCGGGACTCGAGTGTGTCAAAAGAAATGAGTTTTATCTAATTAGTCTATAAAAAATGTTGGTTAATAAAGTAAACTAATGAAAAAATGTTTATAAATTCAATATTCCATTGCGGACTTCCATAGAAGTCTTAAACAGTCAGATAAATATAAAATCCAATTATGCAATTGTCGAAATAGGATTTAATAGTTTGGTTTTGTTTAAAGAATTGCATTATATTAGTCTTAATATAAGTTTAAGCACAACTGCTTCACAGATAGGGTTAAACAAACAGGCATATATAGTCAAAGCTTGTCTTCTCAGATTAAACGACAAATTTATGGTACTCTCTCGGTAAGGGTATCAAAAACATTTGAAGCTGACGCCTGCGTGTCTGTTGAATCGGTTTGACTTTCAGCAGACTAACTAATAAGTGTCTATACATATACGAGTCACACATCCTGCATTCTCTCTCTTTGCTAATTATGCAAATGTCTGCGATATTGCCCATGCCCAGATAAGCTTTCAGGGTGGCTATTAATTTAACTTGAAAATCCCCAAAAGCCAAAAGGTTTTGATAGACACACACAGCCCATGGGCACGAGAGTCAACGTTGAATACTTGATTGCACATTAAATTGGTTAGAACCAATCGAAGCAAGTATAAAACATCGCACAAGAATAGTGATTAATATTAAGCACTCATATTCATTCATTCATTTATTCATTCATTCAATGTGTAATCGAATACTCACTTTCACACACCGTTTGCTGTTTTTCTGCGGGGCTATAAATAATGATATATACCAGCTCGTGTATATTTAATTATATATTTGTATTTTAAATAGCTTACAATGTCAGAAGGCAACGAATTGAACAGCTCATCAACTTTATATAGCCTCGACATATGAAGTTTAATGGACTTTCATATATATATATATATATATATATATATATATATATATATATATATTGTGTACTTTAAATACCTTACTGCCAATGCCAATGTACTTAGAAAAACTTTAGAAATGAGTTCCTGAATAGTTACGCTCTAATCAAGACTTGAATACGGCTCTAAACTCCTACTCCAGATAAAGTGTTTTACAATTTTGTTTAGATGCGCATATGACTGATGAATCCAGGCTTTAGATTGTGTTTCGATTCATTGAAAGAGAAGGGAAAAATATGTTTTCATATACCAAAAGATTTGGTAATTATAAAATTGAGGTGCGCTCACCTTGCTTTCGCTTTTACGTAGTTCCAGGAGCTCAGGATTACAGCGAATAGAAGTAAAGTTTCTTGATTATAATACCTTAGAATTCTTCTGAAGGACTTAACAGGGACTAAAAGGAAGTATTACTACACGAGGACATGCCACACGTACCGCGTGTTGC